GGAATTCCAAAGACAAAACCGCCCAGTCGTCTTACACTGGATTCCCAGTCATGTAGGGATCGGGGAAACGACGTGGCAGACGAAGCAGCCAAGGCAGCCACACGTTCTAGTAGCGTACACATTCAAGTTCCAGCAAGCGTGCAACAGATCAAGAATCACCTCAGAAAGACTAGCAAGCTCCACATCCAAAAGAGCTTCCTTCACGCATTCAACGCTGGTTCCCAATCAGCCAAATGGTACCTGGCGGCTACAAAAGGGGAACCACCTTTCGCGGACAAGAAAACACCAAGACAAACCCAAGTCAGCCTTCATCGACTACGACTAGGGTACAAGTGCTCCTGGCAGATGATCGGAATTGACGTCATGGAATGCACCTACTGTCAGGAGCCAGCAGCCAACTCACTTGAACACTATCTCCTCGACTGCGAAGTCACACAAAGTTTCCGAAACAGAACTCAAAACTTCCAAGAAGCACACACAACACCAGCGGCCACTCTAACCCGAAAGGCCCAAACAAACCACATTCACCACCTTCTCCGGGTCATCACACGATACCCACCACCCAGATAGCTTAGGAAGTATCCTCCCTCAGCAAGTGCGGACCCCAGTTCGGGGGGCGCGCCACTCCGAAACTGACCACGTACAAGAGTGGGGGTTGGTGGTAAGCGTCCACTGATCGAGGGTCCGCTCACACTTGCAACCTGCAGTATCCTTCGATATCTGCAGGTAGGACAACCTCCAATCCCAATCCGGCCTGGCTGCTCCAGGAGCTCCAGCCGGAACCACCTAACGGGCCGGCTATAGGCAAAGGCCCGTGTCGGACTACGGTCCGACAATCTCAACAGCAAAACAACCGGGAAGTCATTCTACACTCGGCGACTGGACCAGCAAGAACTCTCAACAGCTCCACACCAACCCGCTCCCTCAGAAAGCTCCTCGCCCAACAGGAATTCTGAGCAAGCTTCTCCTGACCTAGTAACTCCTTAGCACTGCACTGTACAACAATATATATATATATATATATATATATATATATATATATATATATATATATATATATATATATATATATATATATATATATATATATATATATATATATATAAAGAAAATGCCATTGTGATTTTCCTTTCTCACCTCCATCCTGGTTGCGAGATCTCCCTTATTGTACGTGTGTATGTGGCCAGAACAAAGAGAATTGACATGCACAAAGAGAAATTAGACAACTGGCCACATACACAACGCCGCAGTTGCACCCCACTCTAGAAGATCGTTACGAAGGACGGACCGTCTAGACATCTGAACTACCTTCTTATAAGACCTACTTATTTATTTACCTGATTCACCTTCTTCTCACAATGGCTCGAGAACTTTGGTTCATTGTCAGCATATACACACAGGTCCTTTTTCACTTTCGGTTTCTATATATGCAGTTTTTTCGTTCCGTTGGAATATGTTGTTGATGCACAGTGCACCATATACCTGCATTGTCTATACTGTATACATATCAAAACATTTGTAAACTTTAATGAAGGGTTTACTTTATATTATTACTGTTATTATTATATGAAAAACTGTGGACAAAATTAATGATAAAATAAAACGTACTAAGACGACACGTCTTATTAGTATCATAACTGATCAATTTAACAAGACATTTCCTTTGGGTTATTTATCAAGTTTTCACAATCTTGTCAACTTGTTGCTGCCACAGTAATGAGATTCAACGGAAGACGTCTAGTTTAAATCATATTATTGTTATGCCAAGGCATAATTTCGTATTACAGTTTTGTAAACTAGGTGTTTTGATTGTGTTCTGTCCCATGCAGCAGTTATTTTCGTGTATATATTGATGCATTAATTATGTAAGAATATTATAGAATGCCTTGCATCATTTTCGTTATGATTTACTTATTATTGTAAGCCTAGATCATTCTAGAATTCTCCAGGCGTGTCTCGGTCCGACACCCAGCATCTGGACATCGCTAGAATGCCCTGGGCATCTGACGAACCACATATAAACACCCGTGAGTGGCATAGGAGTCAGTCCTCCTCCTATATTTCCCACTTCTGAACTTTACGTTGTAATGTACCCTTCTTGCACCCTCAGATCTAATGCTCTCTTCTCTCCATATCACCAACCAACCAGGAGTCAGTCAATCGCTTCCATTCATAGTGTACAAACTAAGCCATGCAGAACAACTGAAGACATTTTTTGTGCAAGTATTGTGGAATTGTTGTGATTAACATAAAGTGAGAAGACTAAGGAATTGTACACTGGTAGTGTGCTAACTATATATTCGAAGTGAGAAGTCCAGCTGTGAAGACATTACCCTGTTAACAGTGTTGTGAAGATTTAGTGTTTATTAAACAAGACTACAGTGCACGAGTATGTTTCACTGACCTGGTGGAAATCTACCTGCCTGTTGTTTGTCTGTACACTGATACCGATCGTCGGGAAATTACCGGAGACTGGCGGGACAGCCAGTGGTAATTCGACAACACTTGAGATATCTACTGCTTCTGTACATACGACCCTGGCCGCTAGTAACCCGTGGTGGAAGCTGGGTAAGCGGTGAAGGAAGAGGATCTTAACAATATTCTTTAGTGACGTGCTAGATATATTTTTTGTCTAATCACCAAAAAAATATAAGTTTAAATTCGGAGTTGACATCTTTAAGAATATTCAGTTTATAATTAATTATATACTTAGAAAGGCGCCATACAAGTTCATATTTAGCACATAGACTGGTCAGGTATACAAACTGTGAATCTATACGAATTATTCTCGAAGTGCAGAAATATAATACATGATCACTTCATTGTTTATAAATATAAAGCCATAGCCTATTTAAGCCTCATCCGGAGCATTATATAAATCTCTCAACTAAGAATTGTATTTTCCTGTTCATTTTCTTACGTAATTATAAAACTTCCCGCTATCGTCACTATTATCAGAGTTTTGTACATTTTTCTTGGATACGTCATTCATAACTGCATGTTCTCTTATATATTTTTCTGAATATCCTTAACAGTTTTCTTATCTCATTTGGGCGGGACATAATGGTGTCATGCTTAGGAAAGAGAGTGTGTGTGTGTGTGTGTGTGTGTGTGTGTGTGTGTGTGTGTGTGTGTGTGTGTGTGTGTGTGTGTGTGTTAGTTTGTGTGTATGTGTGTGTTAGTGTGTGTGTTAGAATGCGTATGTGTGTGTATTACTATGTGTATGCAAGTGTTAGTATGTGTGTGCGTGTGTTTGTGGTGTAATGGTCAGCCTGCTCGTCTCTCAAGAGAGTGTACCCGGGTTCGATTCCCAGGCAGGGTGAAACTACGGACAAGTTTCTTTCGCCATTTGCCTCCTGTCTACCCAGCAGTAATTGGGGACCTAGAAGTTAATCGATTTGCGGATCGTGTTCCGGGGTAATGGTTAGCCAGTGCAGTTGGTGAGTTATCCGGTCTTCTCGGAATATTCCTTGACACTGGGTCATGCCACTCGTTAACTCAGGGTGTGGTTTTTGTGTTGGCGACAGCTTCTACACCTTAAACAAATTCACGCCTAGGTGGCTTTTGGGCCGGCCATCCTCGTTACACGAGGGGCAACCATTATCTGTGTGTGTTAGTATGTGCGTGTGATAAAGTTAGTGTGTGTGTGCGCCAGGTGCCAGTAATTAATATTTATATACACAACATGTTCTCATCAACAGGCTGATGATGCACGTGTTGGGGAGGAAGATGATGTGTGTTATGGGGTCACAGTGGCACCTGACCTGTACTGTCCTGGTGGCTGCTGGTGTCCTGAGGATGTCTGTCTGTCTGTGTAGAGAGGCTTTGTTAAGTGAGCCATTTAACACAATAATGGTATTAATTATTAGCGATTAAACACCTTTTTTTCTTTGTTAATTTTTGAGATGAATCACTTAACGATGATCCACGTAACAGTATTTAAAGCCGTAGTTGTCACACGTATGTTGCGTCGTACAGGCTGGGGGGGTGTGTGATGCTGGGGTGGAGGGGTGACTGGGATGGGGGGTGGTGGGGGTTGAGGTGTGGCTGGGGTGGTGTGGCTATGGTGGGGGGTGTAGCATAACAAGGTCGTATTGAGGGTGAGTGCAGGAGACTCTATCACCCATCACCTGTTGTCTCCCACCTGCCTCACTCGCTACCACATGTTATAGCGACAATTTGGTCACTGTCACAAGCTACTACATCATTGGTCGACAACAGAAGCTCTTTGATGGTGATTGGTGGATAAAACAAGCTTATTGACGAATATTGCTTGACAGTTTAATCACCTAAACCCCTTCGCTATACCGGAGACGCCACTATTAATATTTTATTTAGTTAATGCCAAAGAGGACACACACACACACACACACACACATACACACACGCACACACACACACACACACACATACACACACGCACACACACACACACACACCTGACATGGTTCATTGTGTATATTTATGGCTGTGTTGATAAATACTTTGTCTCTTATCTCTTTATAACATATTTTTTCTTGTAATGGAGGAGAGTTGAGGGAGGAGAGGGGAGGAGGTTGAGGGCGGATGGGGAGGAAGGTGTGGGGGGAGAGGTAGGAGGGTGAGGGAGGAGAAGGAAAGAGGGTAAGGGAGGAGAGGGAAGGAGGATGAGGGAGGAGAGGGAAAGAGGGAGAGCGAGGGAGATTAGGGTCAGGGAGAATAGTGTTTCCTCGTGTTATCTGTTGCTGCTGCTGTAAACTCGTCAGCTGCACACAGGTAAACAGACGAGAAGCTTGGAGGGACGGGTGAAGGAGGGGCGGGGTGGAAAGGAATGACGGATGAAAAGGGTTGAGGGACGGGAGGAAGGAATGAGGGATGGAAAAGAGTGAAGGGTGGAAAAGAGTGAGGGAGCGGAGGAGGGAATGATGGAGAGGAGTGAGGGAGGGGAGAGGAAGGAATGAGGGAGGGTAGGAGGGTTGTGGGTGGTGGGAAGCACAGCGTGACGCCCCCCCCCCATATAAAGCACAGCTCCCCGACCACAGACTCTCATAGCACACACAGAAGCCATCATGAGAACACTATGGTGAGTTTACCTCTACCTGTCCCTTCACCTATCCACCTGTCCCTCCCTGTCCACCTGTCCCTCCCTGTCCACCTGTCCCTCCCTGTCTGTCTATCCCTCCCTGTCTACCTGTCCCTCCCTGTCTATCTGTCCCTCCCTGTCTACCTGTCCCTCTCTGTCCACCTGTCCCTCTCTGTCCACCTGTTCCTCTCTGTCCACCTTTCCGTCCCTGTACACCTGCCCTTATTTTCTAACTTAACCTAACCTAGCCTAACCTAACCTAACCTAACCTGAACTTTACCTAACCTAAGCAATGCTAACCCGAGCTAACCTGACTTAAGAAGAAAGATCTTGGCGTTGTGATAGATCAGTCAGTGACGGCGGCGCAACAAGTGAAGAAAGTAAACCGAGATCTGGGAATTATAAAGCGTACCTTTCAATACAAAGATAGGAAAATGCTCCTTCAAATCTCAAGTAAGTCCCAGTCTGGATTAATGTATACAGCCTCAGGCATGGAAATTCTACCTCCAGATAGATCTACTATTCCCAGAAAAGCTGCAACACAGAGCGACCAATATGATTCCGGAACTATGTCATCTCGTTTATCCAAATTGACTGAGGGCCTTAGGACTAACAAACCCCCAGACAAGACACACCTGGGCAGATCTTAATGATACATTCAAAATCATCAACGTGATGGAAAACGTGAACCCGGGACACTTGTTTGTGATGTCACGCAGCACCAATACGAGTGAAAATAACTACCAGCTCGTCAAATTATCATGCAGAACCATCATAAGGAAATACTTTTTCACGCAGAGGCTGATAGAACTATGGCACTGTCAACCAGCCCAAGCTTCCACAGCTTGGGCTGGTTGACAGTGCCATGTACTGGGCTTCAAAATAGGCCTTGACGATACTCTCAAGAGCAATGGAGGGATCCTACAGAGGCCACTGGCCCTCTTCACCCACCTTGGCCACCTATAGTGGGTGGCCATTAAATAAATAAGGCAGGTAAAGGTAAAAATGTCCCCAGCACCGCCATGACACAAATACAAATACAGTTTCACGTACAGATACAGTCACCCAAAAAAGTCCTGTCGCGAACCACGATTCAGACTCGTGAACCCGAAGCAGTAGACACTGAGACATTATTCTGTCCATAAATGCTTCGAATTCAAGAGTCTGAATCTCGGGGTTCATGGTTCGCGACAGGACTTTTTTGGGTGACTGTACAGGAGACAAGTACCACCCATAGTACCGTAAAGTGGCTAACGAGGCAATCAGTGGTTACACGACAAGGAAACACACACATGGGGAGTGAATCTTCTCAGCCGTCAATCAGTGTTGGTTGCTTCACACATCACCTGGATATATAAACACCACGACACACAGGCAGCCAACACAGTGTACTTGTATGGCGAATTTACTAAATAAATATCTGTGTGTATCGTAGAGAGTGTGTGAGGTGTAGAGGCGGCAGCAGGGGGTGAGAGCGTCATGCCAGCCCTTTATGGTGCGCTGTTTACAAATAGGAAAACAGTGCATCTTGGTGGAGTGGGGAGGAGGAGGCCAGGCGGTGAAGCAGGCAGAGGAGAAGGAAGGAAGGCAGGGTGTGTGTGTGAGAGAGAGGGGGGAGGTGATGGAGATGTGGATATAGCGGAAATTTGTAAAGTGGAAGAGAGGAAGGTGGAGAGAGTACTATATGTTTACATTGTTTATATACCTGCACTATATACATTATGGAGATATTTATGATGTTGATGTTTCAGGTTGATGTTAGTGGCGGCAGTGGGCGTGGTCTTGGCGATAGGTTACGACACGCCCACCTGTGACGAACGCCAGACCATCGTTCACCTGTTTGAGTGGAAGTGGTCTGACATTGCTGCCGAGTGTGAGAGATTCCTGGGTCAGGCCGGCTACTGTGCTGTCCAGGTGGGTGACACACACTCACACACAGGCACACGCACACACACACACAAGATACAGACTGACAAGCAGACGATATTTTATTGTGCTTATTTTTCAAGACTTATTTTTAAAGTTGAATTTTTATTAATCTACCGGGGTTTAAACTGATCAGTTTTTAATGAAAGGATTTTGATAATGTTGGTATTTTTATTGAGACTTACTGATGAGTTGTTGACAGGTGTTGCCAAGAGTGAGTGTGTGTGTGTGTGTGTGTGTTTAACAGGTGTTGCCACGTGTGTGTTTAACAGATGTTGTCAAGTGTGTGTGTGTGTGACAGGTGTTGCCAAGTGTGTGTATGCGTTGACAGCTGTTGTCTTATATTCCACCTATTAATATACACGTGAGTAGTTGACATATAACGAATTACTTCTCTTAGTAACAGATGTAACAGTATGCCACAGTAATGGGGAGAACATGATATCTCTTCTTTTACCAACTGTGTCTCTGTTGAGGTGACTGTTACTGTGAATATAACAGTTACTTGTGAAACTGCCATATGTGTAACAACCTTCCTGGGTTGTCACCACTTGTAGCAATCACTTGTGAAGCACGTTACCTTATATTTTAGACAAACTAAAATATAGATCAAAGTTTATTGGATCTTCTGTAGTGAAATCCATTATGTTCCTTGTTTGTATTTATTATAAAAGGTTTTATGTATACAATGAAAGACAAAAGTCGTGTCGTGAAATTTGGTGTAAACATATGCCGAAGGGCTAAACTTTTGGTGCACTCTGCCTTGTGGTAGGGAGCTCTCATAATGCTTCACGAGTTATATTTAATCTTCTGACAAAACCACGACACGACTTTTGTCTTTGATTGTACACTTTCCAAAATGATTATCACCGTAATTTAACCACTGTAGCTATGAGTGTTAAATGCAGACGAAGGCTATGTTAAATAGCTCTGCTAAGTACGTCCTGTTGATGAGATAGTTGAGTAAGGTGAGTAGGGACCCATTGAGGGAAGAACGGAAATATATCGGACGTCCTCCCTCGAGGGAAAACAGAACCATCCACAATGGCTCTCAATGACGTCTCCCTGAGACGTCACTTAATCCTTAAGCTCAGCACTAAGTGATGTGACTTCCCGTGGGCACACCTTATCACGTGCTTTGAACATGCTACCTCATAGCTAGTGGAAAGTTACAGGGGATGATGGAGTATATAAGTCTAATGTAATTAACTCATTTATATAAATGCTTCCGCCTATAAGGCAAGGGTAATACAGACAGGTGTTGCCAAGTGTGTGTGTGTGTGTGTGTGTGACAGGTGTTGTCTTATATTCCACCTACTAATATGCACGTGCGAACATAAGAACATAAGAACATAAGAATGGTGGAAACTGCAGAGGGGCTATTGGCCCATACTGGACAGTCCCATTTTCACCCAACCTCTATTGCTCATATAAGCATCCAACCTATGTTTGGAGCTATCCAGCGTATTCGAGTTAATGATGACATTTGGTAACTTTTTCCATTCATCCACTACGCTGTTTCCAAACCAATATTTACCTATTTCGGGCCTATATCTAAATTTGTCTAATTTAATACCAATGTTACGAGTTCGCTCTTGGTTGGAAAGTTTGAGTACCTTTATAATGTCCCCTTTGTTTAGCCCTGACTTCCATTTATACACCTCTATCATGACGCCCCTCGCTCTACGTCTCTCGAGGGAGTGCAAATTAAGATGCTTTAATCTGTCTCTATACTCAAGGTTCCTAATGCCCGGGATTAGTCTTGTTATTCTCCTGTGAATTCTTTCCAAGGATTCTATATCCATTTTATAATACGGTGACCAGAATTGAACTGCGTAATCCAGGTGAGGTTTCACAAGCGCAAGATATAGTCTTAAGGTGACCTCGCTAGTCTTATAACTAACACTCCTTTGTATGAACCCAGGTGTTGCCAAGTGTGTGTGTGTGTGTGTGTGAGTGAAAAGTGTTACCAAGCGTGTGTGTATGTGTGTGTGACAGGTGTTGTTTTATATTCCACCTACTAATATAGTACACGTGTGTGGTTGACAGGTGTCGCCGCCCATGGAACACGTGTTGGCTTCAGAGGACGGGTACCCCTGGTGGCAGCGCTACCAACCAGTTTCCTACCAGCTGGAATCTCGCTCAGGCACCAGGACCGAGTTTATTGATATGGTGCAGAGATGTAACGCTGTCGGTGTGAGGTGAGAGATGAGAGGTGGGCTGAGAGGGAGGGAAGGTAGAGAGGGATGATAGGTGAGCAGGAAGTGAGAGATGGAGGGATGATAGATGGGCAGGCAGTGAGGGAAGGAGGGAGGATATATGGGCAGGAAGTGAGGGAAGGAGGGAGGATATATGGACAGGAAGTGAGGGAAGGAGGGAGGATATATGGGACAGGAAGTGAGGAAGGAGGATGAGAGGTGGACAGGAGTAGGAGGGACAGGAAGGAGGGATGGACAGGAAGGAGGAAGAGGGATGAGAGGTGGACAGGAAGTGAGGGAAGGAAGGATGAGAGGTGGACAGGAAGTGAGGGAAGGAGGGATGAGAGGTGGAGTAAGTGAGGGAAGTGAGGGAGAGGAGTGGACAGGAAGTGAGGGGAAGGAGGATGAGAGGTGGGGAGGAAGTGAGGGAAGGAGGGATGAGAGGTGGGAGAGTAGGAGGGATGAGGGATGAGGTGGACAGGAAGAGGGAAGGAGGGATGAGATGGACAGGAAGTGAGGGAAGGAGGGATGAGAGGTGGACAGGAAGTGAGGGAGAGGGATGAGAGGTGGACAGGAAGTGAGGGAAGGAGGGATGAGAGGTGGACTGAAGGTGGACGGAAGTGAGGAGGAAAGAGGGATGGAGAGGTGGACAGGAAGTGAGGGAAGGAGGGGATGAGGTGGACAGGAAGTGAGGGAAAGAGGGATGAGAGTGGACAGGAAGTGAGGGAAGGAGGAATGACAGGTGGACAGGAAGTGAGGGAAGGAGGAATGACAGGTGGACAGGAAGTGAGGGATGGAAGGAAAGAAGGAGGAATGTCTCAGTGGTCCTGGTACACACACTACAGCCGCTGCGCCTCCTACAGGATCATCGTGGACACCGTCATCAACAACATGGCGGGGCTGGGCAGGTCTGGCCAAGGATCCGGCGGCTCCGCCTTCAACGCTGACGGTCTAGACTTCCGCCGCCCTTACACCAGTGATGACTTTACCCCCGGAGACCTATGTCCCCCCTGATGGTGAGTGACCCTCCCCTGATGGTGAGCGTACTCCCTGATGGTGAGTGTCCATCTCCTGTGTCCTCCCATGATGGTGAGTGTCCTCTCCTGTGTCCCTCCCTTGTGTCCTTCCCATGACGGGTGAGTGCCCTCTCCCTGATGGTGAGTGTCCTCTCCTGTGTCCTCCCATGATGGTGAGTGTCCCTCTCCTGTGCCCTCCCCTGATGGTGAGTGTCCTCCTCTGTCCTTATGACGGTGAGTGCCCTCCCCTGATGGTGAGTGTCCCTCTCCTGTGTCCCTCGCATGATGGTGAGTGTCCCTCTCCTGTGTCCCTCCCTGATGGTGAGTGTCCCTCTCCTGTCCTTTCCTGATGATGAGTGTTCCTTCCCTATGTCCCTCCCGTGAGGGTGAGTGTCCTCCCATGATGGGAGTGTCCCCTCCTGTGTCCTCCCTGATGGTGAGTGTCCTTCTCCTGTGTCCCTCACCTGATGATGAGTGTCCTTCCTGTGTCCCTCCCCTGATGGTGGGTGTCTCTCTCCCCGGTGTCCTTCCTCTCATGCTTGTGTGTCCTTTCCTGTGTCCCTCCCCTGATAGTGTGAGTGTCCTTCCCATGTGTCCATCCCCTGATGGTGAGTGTCCCTCCCTGTGTCCCTCCCTGTGTCCTCTCCTGTGTCCCTCCCCTAATGGTGAGTGTCCCTGACCTGTGTTCCTCCCCTTTGATGAGTGTCCCTCCTGTGTCCCTTCCCTGTGTCCCTCCCTCCCTGATGGTGAGTGTCCCCTCTCCTGTGTCCCTCCCTATGATGGTGATTGTCGCTTCCTGTGTCCCTCCCTGATGTGAGTGTCCTGACCTGTGTTCTCCCCTGTTGATGAGTGTCCCTCTCCTGTCCTCCCTGTGTCCCCACACCTGATGGTGAGTGTCCCTCGCCTGTGTCCCTCCCCTGATTGTGAGTGTACTCTCCCTGTGTCCCTCCCCTGATGGTGAGTGTCCCTCCTCCTGTGTCCCTCCTGATGGTGAGTGTCCCTTCCTGTGTCCTCTCCTGTGTGTCCCTCCCCTGATGGTGAGTGTCCCTCTCCTGCGTACCTCCTCCTGTGTGTCCCTTCCCTGATGGTCAGTGTCTTTTCCTGTGTCTCACCCTAGGGTGAGTATCCCTCCCCAGTGTCCTTCCCATTTGCCCTCCCTGTGTCCTCCCGTGTGTCCCTATCATGATGGTGAGTGTCCTCCACTGATGGTGATTGTCCCTTGCATGATGGTGAGTGTTCATCTCCAGTGTCCCTCTCCCTGGTGGTGAGTGTCCATCCCTTGTGTCCTCCCCTGATGGCGAGTGTCCTCCACTGTGTCCCTCCCCTGTGTCCCTTCCCTGTGTTCCTCACCTGATGATGACTGTCCATCCCTTGTGTCCCTCCCCAGATTATGAGTGTCCCCTCCCTATGTCCCTCCCCAGACTGTGAGTGTCCATCTACTGTGTCCTCTCCTGTGTCCCTCTCCGTGATGTTGAGGTCCATTTCTGTGTCACTCCCTGTGTCCCTCTCCTGGTGGTGAGTGTCCTCTCCTGTGTCCCTCCCATAATGTTGAGTGTCCATCTCTTGTGTCCTCTCCCCTGATGGGAGTGTCCATCTACTGTGCCTCCCCTGTGTCCTCCCCTGATAGTGAGTGTCCTCTCCTGTGTCCTCCCATAATGTTGAGTGTCCATCTCTTGTGTCACTCCCTGATATTGAGTGTCTCCTCCCATGTGTCCATCCTGATGGTGAGTGAACCTCCCTGTGTCCCTCTCCTGATTGGTGAGTGTCTCCTCCCTGATGGTGAGTGTCCCCTGTGTTCCTTCCATGTGTCCCTCCCCTGTGTTCCCTTCCATGTGTCCTCCCCTGATGGTGAGTGTCCCCGTCCTTTGTCCCTCCTATGATGGTGAGTGTCCCTTCCTGTGTCCTCTCCTGTGTCCTCCCCCTGATGGTGAGTGTCCCTCTCCTGTGTCCTCTCCTGTGTCCCTTCCCTGATGGTCAGTGTCCTTTCCTGTGTCTCCCCTTAGGTGAGTGCCTCCCCAGTGTCCTTCCCATGTGCCTTCTCCCTGTGTCCTCCCTGTGTCCCTCCCCATGATAGTGAGTGTCCTCCACTGATGGTGATTGTCCCTTGCATGATGGTGAGTGTTCATCTCCAGTGTCCCTCTCCTGGTGGTGAGTGTCCATCCCTTGTGTCCCTCCCTGTGTCCCTCCCATATAGTGAGTGTCCCTCCACTGATGGTGATTGTCCTTCCATGATGGTGAGTGTTCATCTCCAGTGTCCTCTCCTGGTGGTGAGTGTCCATCCCTTGTGTCCTCCTGTGTCCTCCCCATGATAGTGAGTGTCCCACCACTGATGGTGATTGTCCCTCCCATGATGGTGAGTGTTCATCTCCAGTGTCCTCTCCTGGTGGTGAGGTCCATCCCTTGTGTCCGTCCCCATATGGCGAGTGTCCTCTACTGTTTCCTCCCTGTGTCCTCCTTCCTGTGTTCTCACCTAATGATGACTGTCCATCCCTTGTGTCCTCCCAGATTATGAGTGTCCCTCTCCCTGTGTCCTCCCCTGTGTCCTCCCCTGATGGTGAGTGTCCCTCTCCTGTGTCCCTCCTGTGATGTTGAGTGTCCATCTCCGTGTCACTCCCCTGATGGTGAGTGTCCATCACCTGTGCCCCGATTGATGGTGAGTTTTCATCTCCTGTGTCCCCTTTCTGATGGCTTGTGTGTCCCTCTCCTGTGTCCCTCCCCTGATGGTGAGTGTCCCCCATGTGTCCATCCCCTGATGGTGATTGTCCCCTCCTGTGTCCCTCCCCTGAACGTGAGTGTCCCTCCCTGTGTCCATCCCCTGATGGTGAGTGACCCTCCTGTGTCCCCTCTCCTATGATGGTGATTGTTCCTCCTGTGTCCCTCCCCTGATGGTGAGCGTCCCTGACCTGTGTCCCACCCCTGTTGATGAGTGTCCCTCTCCTGTGTCCGTGCCCTGTGTCCCTATCCTGATGGTGGGTGCCCATCTCCTGTATCCCTCCCCTGATGGTGAGTGTCCCTACTCTGTGTCCCGCCCCTGATGGTGAGTGTCCATCCCTTGTGTCCTCCCCTGATGGCGAATGTCCTCTACTGTTTCCCTCCCTGTGTCCCTTCCCTGTGTCTCTCACCTGATGATGAGTGTCCTCTCCTGTGTCGCTCCCTCTGATGCTGAGTACCTCTCCTGTGTCCCTCTCCCCTGATGGTGAGTGTCCTCTCCTGTGCCTTGCCCCTGATAGTGAGTGTCCCTCCCTGTGTCCTCCCCTGATGGTGAGTGTCCTCTCCCGTGTCCCTCCCCTGATGATGAATGTCCCTCTCCACTGTGTCCTCACCTGATGGTAGTGTCCCTCTCCAGTGTCCTCTCCTGTTGTGATTGTGCCTTCCCTGTGTCCTCCCCTGATGGTGAGTGTCCTTCCCTTCTGTCCTCCTCTGTGACCTTTCCCTGATGGTGATTGTCCTTCTGTGTCCTCCCCTGATGGTGAGCGTCCATCCCTGTGTCCCTCCTGATGGTGAGTGTGCCTCCTTCTCTGTTCCTCCCTGATGATGAATGTCCTCCACTGTGTCCCTCCCTGATGGTAGTGTCCCTCTCCAGTGTCCTCTCCCTGATGGTGAATGTGCTCTCCCCTGTGTCCTCCCTGGTGGTGAGTGTCCCCCCTTCTGTTCCTCCTCTGTGACCTTCCCCTGATGGTAAGTGTCCCTCCCTTCTGTTCCTCCCCTGTGTCCTTCCCCTGATGGTGAGTGTGCCTCCCCTGTGTCCCTCCCCTGATGGTGAGTGTCCCTCTCCTGTGTCCCTTCCCTGATGGTGAGTGTCCCTCTCTTGTCCCTCCCCTGATGGTGAGAGTCCCTCTGTGTCCCTCTCCCCTGATGGTGAGTGTCTTCATGTGTCCTCTCCTGATGGTAGTGTCCCCTCCCAGGTTCCTCCTGATGGTGAGTGCCCTCTCCTGTGTCCCTCCCCTGATGGTGAGTGTCCCTCTCCTGTGTCCCTTCCCTGATGGTGTGAGTGCCCTCTCCTGTGTCCCACCCCTGATGGTGAGTGTCCTTCTCCTGTGTTCCTCCACTGATGGTGTGAGTGTCCCTTCCTGTGTCCCTCCCTGATGGTGAGTGTCCCTCTCCTGTGTTCTTCCTGATGGTGAGTGTCCCTCTCCTGTGTCTTTTCCCTGATGGTGAGTGTCCTTCCCTGTGTCCCTCCCTGATGGTGAGTGTCCTCCCTGTGTCCCTCCCCATGATGAATGTCCCTCCACAGTGTCCCTCCCCTGGTGGTGAGTTTCCTCCTTGTGTCCTCCTCCCCTGTCTCCTTCCCCTGATGGTGAGTGCCCTCTCCTGTGTCTTTCCCCTGATGGTGAGTGTCCTCTCGTGTCCTCCTGATGGTGAGTGTCCTCCCCTGTGTCCCTCCCTAATGATGAATGTCCTCCACAGTGTCCTTCCTGATGGTGAGTGTCCCTCCCTTGTGTCCCTCCCCTGTCTCCTTCCCTGATGGTGAGTGTCCCTCCCTGTGTCCCTTGTGTCCTTCCCTGATGATGAGTGTCCTCCCTTGTATCCTCCCCTGTGTCCCTCCCCTGGTGGTGAGTTTCCTCCCCTGTGTCCCTCCCCTGATGGTGAATGTCCATCTCCTGTGTCCTCCCTGGTGGTGAGTTTCCTCCCTGTGTCCTCCCCTAATGATGAATGTCCCTCCACAGTGTCCCTCCCCTGGTGGTGAGTTTCCTCCCCTTGTGTCCCTCCCTGTGTCCCTCCCCTGATGGTGAGGTTCTCCCTGTGTCCTCTCCTGTGTCACTCCCCTGATGGTGAATGTCCATTCCTGTGTCCCTCCCCTGGTGGTGAGTGTCCCTCCCTTGTGTCCCTCCCCTGATGGGGGTGTCCTCCCCTGGCCTCCCTCTGATGTCGTGTCCCTCCCCTGATGGTGGTCCTCCCCCTGTGTCCCTCCCTGATGGTGAGTCCTGTCCCTGATGGTGTCCCTCCCCTGTGTCCTCCCTGATGGTGGGTGTTGTTCTCTCCTGATTGTGTCCCTCCCTGTGTCCCTCCCCTGATGGTGAGTGTCCCTCTCCTGTGTCCCCCCCTCAGGAGTGTCCCTTCCCGGTGTCTTTCCCCTGTGTCCTCCCTTCCTGATGGTGAGTTTTTCTGTCCTGTGTCCCTCCCCCGAATGGTGAGTGTCCACTTCTGTGTCCCTCCCCTGATGGTGAGTGTCCTCCCTGTGTCCCTCCCTTGATGGTGAGTGTCCTCTCCTGTGTCCCCTCCCTGATGGTGAGTGTCCCTTCCCAGGTCCCTCCCCTGATGGTGAGGTCTCCCCCCTGTGTCCCTCCCTGATGGTGAGTGTCCCTCTCCTGTGTCCCTCCCCTGATGGTGAGTGTCCCTCCCTGTGTCCCTCCTCCCTGATGGTGAGTGTCCCTCCCTGTGTCCCTCCTGATGAGGTCCCTCTCCTGTGTCCCTCCTGTGTCCTTCCCTGTGTCCCTCCCCTGATGGTGAGTGTCCCTCCCTTGTGTCCCCTCCTGATGGGAGTGTCCCTCTCCTGTGTCCTCCCCTGATGGTGAGTGTCCTTCCCTGTGTCCTCCCCCTGATGGTGAGTGTCCCTTCCCCTGTGTCCCTCCCCTGATGGGAGTGTCCCTCTCCTGTGTCCTCTCTGATGGTGAGTGTCCTCCCCCTGTGTCCCTCCCCTGATGGTGAGTGTCCTCCCCATGCCTCCTTGATGGTGATGTCCCTCCCCATGTGATGTCCTTCTCCCTGTGTCCCTCCCTGACAGGGTCCTCTCCCTGATGGTGAGTGTCCTCCCTGTGTCCCTCCCCCTGATGGTGGAGTGTCCCTCCCCTGTGTCCCTCCCTGATGGTGAGTGTCCCTCCCTATGTGATGTCCTCTCCTGTGTCCCTCCTGAGGTGTGTCCCTCCCTGATGGTGAGTGCGTCCTCCCTGTGTCCTCCCCTGATGGTGAGTGTCCCTCCCCTGTGTCCCTCCCTGATGGTAAGTGTTCCTCCCCTATGTGAATGTCCTTCCTCCTGTGTCCTCCTGATGGTGAGAGGTCCTCTCCCTGAGTGTCCCTCCTGATGGAGTGTCCCTCCCTGATGGTGAGTGTCCTCCTTCCTGTGTCCCTCCCTGATGGTGAGTGTCCCTCCTGTGTCCCTCCCCATGTGTCCTTCTCCTGTGTCCCTCTCCCCTGATGGTGAGTGTCCCTCCCCTGTGTCCTCCCCCTGATGAGTGTCCTCCCTGATGGTGAGTGTCCTCCTTGATCGTGAGTGTCCTTCCCCTGATGGTGAGTGTCCTCCCCTGTGTCCCTCCTGATGGAGAGTGTCCTCCTGATGGTGGGTGTTCTCCCTTTGTTCTTCCCCTGATGGAGAGTGTCCATCCCCTGTGTCCCTCCCTGATGGTGAGTGTGTCCATCCTCTGATGGTTGGTGTTCCTCCCTTTGTTCTTCCCCTGATGGAGAGGTCCGCCCCTGTGTCCTCTCCCCAATGGGAGAGTGTCCCTCCTCTGATGGTGGTGTTCCTCCCTGTGTTCTTCCCTGATGGTGAGTGTCCCTCCCCTGTGTCCCTCCCTGATGGTGAGTGTCCCTTCTCTGATGGTGGGTGTCTTTGTTCTTCCCCTGATGGTGAGTGTCCCCTCCCTGTGTCCCTCTTCTGATGATGGGTGTTCCTCCTGTGTCCCTCCCCTCTGATGGTGGGTGTCCCTCCCCTGATGGTGGTGTTCCTCCTGTGTCCCTCCCCTGATGGTGAGTGTCCCTCCCCTGTGTCCTCCCCTGATGGTGAGTGTCCCTCCTGATGGTGCCCTCTCCCCAGTCCCTCCTTGTGTCCCTCTCCCCTGATGGAGGGTGTTCCTCCTCTGTGTCCCTCCCCTGATGGGAGTGTCTCTCCCTGTGTCCCTCCCCTGATGGTGAGTGTCCCTCCCCTGATGGTGAGTGTCCCTCTCCCTGTGTCCCTCCCTTGTGTCCTCCCCTGATGGTGAGTGTTCCTCCCTCTGTGTCCCTCCCCCTGATGGTGAGTGTCTGTCTCTGTGTCTCCTTCCCCTGATGGTGAGTGTCCCTCCCTCTGATGGGTGAGTGTCCCTCCCCTGTGTCCCTCCCCTGATCGATATTGTCCCTCTTGTGTCGTTCCTGATGGTGAGTGTTCCTCTCCTGTATCCCTCCCTTAATGGTGAGTGTCCCCCCTGTGTCCCTCCTCCTGATGGTGAGTGTCCTCTCCTATGTCCCTCCCCTGATGGTGATTGTCCTTCCCCTGTGTCCTCCCCTGATGGTGAGTGTCCCTCTCCTGTGTCCCTCCCCATGGTGAATGTCCCTCTCCTATGTCCCTCCCCTGATGTGTGATTGTCCTTCCCTGTGTCCCTCCCCGATGGTGAGTGTCCCTCTCCTGTGTCCCTCCCCCAATGGTGAGTGTTCCTATCCTGTGTCCCTCCCCTGATGGTGAGTGTCCCTCCCTGTGTCCCTCCCTGGTGAGTGTCCCTATCCTGTGTCCCTCCCTGATGGTGAGTGTCCGTCTCCTGTGTCCCTTCCCCTGTGTCCCTCCCCAGATGGTGAGTGTCCCTCTCCTGTGTCCCTCCCCTGATGGTGAGGTGTCCCTCTCCTGTGTCCTTCCCTGATGGTGAGTGTCCCTCCCCTGTGTCCCTCCCCTATTGGTGAGTGTCCCTATCCTGTGTCCCTCCCCTGATGGTGAGGTCCCTCCTGTGTTCCTTCCCGATGGTGAGTGTCCCACCCTTCTGTCCCACCCCTGTGTCCTTCCCCTGATGGTAGCGTCCTCCCCTGTGTCCCTCCCCAAATGGTGTGAGTGTCCCTTCTGTGTCCCTTCCCTGATGTGAGTGTCCCTCTCCTGTGTCCCTCCCCTGATAGTGAGAGTCCCTCTCCTGTCTTCTTCCCCTAATGGTGAGTGTCCCTCCCCTGTGTCCCTCTCCTGATGGTGAGTGTCCCTCTCCTGTGTCCTTTCCCTGATGGTGAGTGTCCATCTCCTGTGTCCCTCCCCTATAGTGAGTGTCCCTATCCTATGTCCCTCCCCTGTGTCCCTTCCTGTGTCTCTCCCTGATGATGAGTGTCCCTCTCCTGTGTCCCTTCCCGATGGTGAGTGTCCCTCTCCTGTGTCCCTCCCCTGATAGTGTGAGTGTCCCTCTCCTGTCTCTTTCCCTAATGGTGAGTGTCCCTCCCCTGTGTCTCTCCCCTGATGATGAGTGTCCTCTGCCTGTGTACATCCCCGATGGTGAGGTCCCTTCCCTGTGTCCTTCCCTGATGGTGAGGTCCCTCTCCTGTGTTCCTCCCCTGATGGTGAGTGTCCCTCCCCTGTGTCCTCCCCTGATGGTGAGTGTCCCTATCCTATGTCCCTCCCCTGTGTCCCTTCCTGTGGTCTCTCGCCTGATGATGAGTGTCCCTCTCCCCTGTGTGTCCTTCCTGATGGTGAGTGTCCCTCTGTGTCCCTCCCGATAGTGAGGTCCCTCTCCTGTCTCTTCTCCCTAATGGTGAGTGTCCTCCCTGTGTCTCTCGCCTGATGATGAGTGTCCTCGCCTGTGTGTACATCCCCTGATGGTGAGGTCCTCCCCTGTGTCCTTCCCCTGATGGTGAGAGTCCCTCTCCTGTGTCCCTCCTGATAGTGAGGTACCTCTCCTGTGTCTTTCCCCGATGGTGAGTGTCCCTCCCGTGTGTCCTCCCCGATGGTGAGTGTCCCGCTCACGTGTCCCTCACCTGATGATGAATGTCCCTCCACTGTGTCACCCCCCAGAGGTGAGTGTCCCTTCCCCAGGTGTCCTCCCTGATGGGGAGTGTCCCTCTCCTGTGTCCTTCTCGTGTGTGCCTCCCCTGTGTCCCTCTCCTGATAGTGAGAGTCCCTCTCCTGTGTCTTTCCCCTGATGGGGAGGTCCTCCCTGTGTCCTCCCCTGATGGTGAGTGTCCCTCTCCTGTGTCCTTCTCGTGTGTGCCTCCCCTGTGTCCCTCCCCTGATGGTGAAAGTACCTCTCCTGTGTCTTTCCCCTGATGGTGAGTGTCTCTCCCCTATGTCCCTCCCCTGATGGTGAGTTCCCTCCCCTATGTCCCTCCCCGATGGTTAGAGTCCCTCTCCTGTGTCCCTCCTGATGGTGAGTGTCCCTCTTTCTATCCTTCTCCCCTGACGGTGAGTGTCCCTCTCCTGTGTCCCTTCCCTGATGGTGAGTGTCCCTCCCCTGTGTCCCTCCCCTGATGGTTACCATCCTCTCCTGTGTCCCTCCCCTGGTGGTGAGTGTCCCTCCCATGTGTCCTCCCCTGATGGTGGGTGTCCCTCCTGTGTCCCTCCCCTGATGGTTAATATCCCTCTCCTGTGTCCTCCCTGGTGGTGAGTGTCCCTCTTTCTATCCCTTCCCTGATGGTGAGTCCCTCTCCTGTGTCCCTTCCTGATGGTGAGTGTCCCTCCCCTATGTCCCTCCTCCTGATGGTTAATATCCCTCCTGTGTCCCTCCCCTGGTGGTGAGTGTCCCTCCATGTGTCCCTCCCCTGATGGTGGGTGTTCCTCCCTGTGTACCTCCTGATGGTCGGTGTCCCTCCCCTGATGGTGGATGTTCCTCCCCTGTGTCCCCTCCTCTGATGGTGGGTGTCAGTCCCCTGATGGTGGTTGTGGCTCCCTGTGTCCCTCCTCTGATGGTGGGTGTTGCCCCTGATGGTGGGTGTCCCTCTCCCCGTCCCCTGGTGGTGAGTGTCCTCTCCTGTGTTCTCCCTGATGGTGAGTGTCCCTCCCCTGTGTCCCGCCCCTGATGGTGAGTGTCCCTCTCCTGTGTGCACCCCCCTGATGTGAGTGTCCCTTCCCGGTGTCTTTCCCTGTGTCCCTTGCCTGATGGTGAGTTTCCTGTCCTATGTCCTCCCCTAATGGTGAGTGTCGCACTTCTGTGTCCCTCCCTGATGGTGAGTGTCCCTCTCCTGTGTGCACCCCTGATTGTGAGTGTCCCTTCCCGGTGTCTTTCCCCTGTGTCCCTTGCCTGATGGTGAGTTTTCCTGTCCTATGTCCCTCCCCAATGGTGAGTGTCGCACCCTGTGTCCCTCCCTGATGGTGAGTGTCCTCTGTATCCCTGCCCTGATGGTGTGAGTGTCCCTCTCCTGTTTTCCTCCCCTGATGTGAGTGTCCCTCCCCTGTGTCCCTCTCCTGTATCCCTCTCCTGATAGTGAGTGCACTTCCCATGTGTCTCTCTCCTGTTGGTGAGTGTGCCTCTCCTGTGTCCCTCCCCTGATGGTGAGTGTCCAACCCTTGTATCCCCTGCCCTGATGGTGAGTGTCCCTCTGTGTCCCTCCCATGATGGTGAGTGTCCTCCTGTGTCCCTCCCTGATGGTGAGTGTCCCTCCCCTGTGACCCTCCCTGATGGTGAGTGTCCCTCCTCCTGTGTCCCTCCCCTGATGGTGAGTGTCCCTCCCCTGTGTCCCTGCCCCTGATGGTGAGTGTCCTTCCCCTGTATGCCACCTGATGGTGAGTGTCTCTCTCCTGCTTCCCCTGTGTCTCTTCCCTGTGTCCCTCCCCTGATGGTGAGTGTCCCTTCCCTGTTCCTCCCCTGTGGTGGAGTTTCTCCCCTGTGTCCCTCCCTGATGGTGAGTGTCCCTTCCCTGTGTCCCTCCCCATGGTGAGTTTCCTCCCTGTGTCCTCCCCCTGATGGTGAGTGTCCCTCCCCTGATGGTGAGTGTCCTCCTTGATGGTGAGTGTCCTTCCCTGATGGAGAGTGTCCAGCCCCTGTGATCCCTACCCTGATGGAGAGTGTCCCTCCCTCTGATAGTGGGTGTTCCTCCCTTTGTTCTTCCCCTGATGGGAGTGTCCATCCCCTGTGATCCCTCCCTGATGGAGAGTGTCCGTCCCCTGTGTCCCTACCCCTGATGGAGAGTGTCCCTCCTCTGATGGTGGGTGTTCCTCCCTTTGTTCTTCCCTGATGGAGAGTGTCCATCCCCTGTGATCCCTCCCCTGATGGGAGAGTGTCCATCCCCAGTGATCCCTCCTGATGGTGAGTGTCCCTCCTCTGATGGTGGGTGTTCCTCCCTTGTGTCCCTCCCTCTGATGGTGGGTGTTCCTCCCTGTGTCCCTCCTCTGATGGTGGTGCTCATCCTTGTGTCCCTCCTCTGATGGTGGGTGTCCCTCCTGATGCGGTGTTCCTCCCGTGTCCCTCCTCTGATGGTGGGTGTCCCTCCCCTGTGTCCTCCCATGATGGTGAGTGTCCCTCCCCTGATGGTGAGTGTCCCTTCCCGGTGTCTTTCCCTGTGTCCCTTGCCTGATGGTGAGTGTCCCTTCCCTCTGTGCCTCCCTGATGGTGAGTGTCCCTCTCCCTAATGTGAATGTCCTTCTCCTGTGTCCCTCCCCTGATGGTGGGTGTCCCTCCCCCTGATGGTGAGTGTCCTCCTGTGTCCCTCCCCTGATGGTGAGTGTCCTCCCTGTGTGCCTCCCTGATGGTGAGTGTCCCTCCGCTAATGTGAATGTCCTTCTCCTGTGTCCCTCCCTGATGGTGGGTGTCCTCCCCTGATGGTGACTGTCCTCCCCTGTGTCCCTCCCCTGATGGTGAGTGTCCCTCCCCTGTGTGCCTCCCCTGATGGTGAGTGTCCCTCCCCTAATGTGAATGTCCTTCTCCTGGGTCCCTCCCTGATGGTGAGTGTCCTCCCCTGATGGTGAGTGTCCCTCTCCCCTGATGGTGAGTGTCCCTCCCCTAATGTGAATGTCCTTCTCTGTGTCCCTCCCTGATGGTGAGTGTCCCTCCCTGATGGTGAGTGTCCCTCTAATGTGAATGTCCTTCTCCTGTGTCCCTCTCCTAATGGTGAGTGTCCTCCCTGATGGTGAGTGTCCCTCCCCTAATGGTGATGTCCCTCCCTTGATCGTGAGTGTCCTTCACCTGATGGTGAGTGTCCCTCTCCTGTGTCCCTCCCATGTGTGCCTCTCCTGTGTCCCTCCCTGATGGTGAGTGTCCTTCCCCTGTGTGTCCTCCCTGATGGTGAGTTTCCCTCCCTGATGGTGAGTGTCCTCCTTGATCGTGAGTGTCCTTCCCTGATGGTGAGTGTCCCTCCCCTGTGTGCCTCCCTGATGGTGAGTTTCTCCTTGATCGTGAGTGTCCCTCCCCTGATGGTGAGTGTCCTCCCCTGTGTGCCTCCCTGATGGTGTTTCCTCCCTGATGGTGAGTGTCCCTCCCTGATCGTGAGTGTCCTTCCCAGATGGAGAGTGTCCAGCCCCTGTGATCCCTCCCTGATGTGAGAGTGTCCCTCCTCTGATGGTGGGTGTTCCTCCCTTTGCCCCTGATGGAGTGTCCATCCCTGTGATCCCTCCTGATGGTGAGTGTCCATCCTCTGATGGTGGGTGTTCCTCCCTTTGTTCTTCCCTGATGGAGAGTCCATCCCTGTGATCCCTCCCTGATGGAGAGGTCCATCCTGTGATCCCCTGATGGTGAGTGTCCATCCTCTGATGGTGGGTGTTCCTCCCCTTTGTTTTCCCCTGATGAGAGTGTCCATCCCTGTGATCCCTCCTGATGGAGAGTGTCCAGCCCCGTGATCCTTACCCTGATGGTGAGTGTCCCTCCTCTGATGATGGGTGTTCCTCCCTTTGTTCTTCCCTGATGGAGAGTGTCCATCCCCTGTGATCCCTCCCTGATGGTGAGTGTCCATCCTCTGATGGTGGGTGTTCCTCCTTTGTTCTTCCCCTGATGGAGTGTCCATCCTCTGATGGTGGGTGTTCCTCCTTTGTTCTACCCTGATGGAGAGTGTCCACCCCTGTGATCCCTCCCTGATGGAGAGGCCCTCCCTCCAGGTGTCTTGTTCTTCCCCTGATGGAGAGTGTCCATCCCCTGTGATCCCTCCCTGATGGAGAGTGTCCTCCTCTGATGGTGGTGTTCCTCCCTTGTTCTTCCCTGATGGAGTGTCCAGCCCTGTGATCCCTCTCCCCTGATGGAGAGTGTCCCTCCTCTGATGGTGGGGTGTTCCTCCTTTGTTCTTCCCTGATGGAGAGTGTCCCTCCCTGTGTCCCTCTCCCATGATGGTGAGTGTCCCCTCCCTGATGGTGAGTGTCCCTCTCCTGTGTCCCTCCCTTGTGTCCCTCCTGATGGTGGGTGTTCCTCCTCTGTGTCCCTCCCAGGTGAGTGTCCGTCCCCTGTGTCCCTCCTGATGGTGAGTGTTCCTCCTCTGATGGTGGTGTTCCTCCCTGTGTTCCTCCCCTGATGGTGAGTGTCCCTCCTCTGATGGTGGGTGTCCCTCTCCGTGTCCCTCCCTTGTGTCCCTCCCCTGATGGTGTGGGTGTTCCTCCTCTGTGTCCCTCCCCTGATGGTGAGTGTCCCTCCTCTGATGGTGGGTTCCCTCCCCTGTGTCCCTCCCCATAGTGGGTGTCCCTTCCCTGATGGTGAGTGTCCATCTAATGGTGAATGTCCCTCCTGATGGTGAGTGTCCTTCCCTGATGGTGAGTGTCCCTCTCCTGTGTCCTCCCTGTGTCCCTCCTCTGATGGTGATTGTCCTCTTGTTTTCCTCCCTGATGGAGAGTGTTCATCCCCTGTGATCCCTCCCTTGATGGTGAGTGTCCCTGATCTGATGGTGGGTGTTCCTCCCGTGTGTCCCTCCTCTGATGGTGGGTGTGTCCCTCTCCCTGTGTCCCTCCTCTGATGGTGAGTGTTCCTCCTCTGATGGTGTGTGTTCCTCCCGTGTCCCTCCTCTGATGGTGGGTGTCCCTCCCCTGATGGGGGTTTTCTCGCTGTGTCCCTCCTCTGATGGTGGGTGTCCCTCCCCTGTGTCCCTCCCATGATGGTGAGTGTCCCTCTCCTGTGTCCCTCCCCTGTGTCCCTCCCTCTGATGGTGAGTGTTCCTCCCCTGTGTTCCTCCCTGATAGTGAGTGTCCCTCCCTGATGGTGGGTGTCCCTACCCTGTGTCCCATTTCTGATGGTGAGTGTCCATCCCTATTGGTGGGTGTCCCTCCCTGATGATGAGTGTCCTCTCCTATGTCCCTCCTGTGTTCCTCCTCTGATGGGTGCCTCCTCCTGATGGTGGGTGTTCCTCCCCTGTGTCCCTCTGATGGTGGGTGTTCCTCCCCTGTGTTCCTCCCCTGATGGTGAGTGTCCCTCCTCTGATGGTGGGTGTCCTCCTGTGTCCCCTCCCTGATGGTGAGTGTCCCTCCTGATGGTGGTGTTCCTCCCCTGGTGGTTGGTGTCCTCTCCTGTCCCTCCCTGGTGGTGATTGTCCCTCTCCTGTGTCCCTCCCGTGATGGTGAGTGTCCTCCTCTGATGGTGGGTGTTCCTCCCTGATGGTGGGTGTCCCTCCCCTGTGTTGCTCCCCTGATGGTGGGTGTCCCTTCCCTGTGTTCCTCCCCTGATGGTGGGTGTCCCTCCCCTGTGTCCCTCCCCTGTGGTGAGGCTCCTCCTGGTACCCCTTGATGGTGAGTGTCCCTTCCCTGTGTTCTCCCTGTGTCCCTCGCCTGATGGTGAGTTTTCCTCTCTTGTGTCCCTCCTGATGGTGAGGTTCTCTCCTTGTCCCTCCCTGATGGTGAGTGTCCCTTCCCGGTGTCTCTCCCTGTGTCCCTCCCCTGATGGTGAGTGTTCCTCTCCTGTGTCCCTCTCCTGTGTCTCTCTCCTGTGTCCCTCCCCTGATGGTGAGTGTCCTTCCCCTAATGGTTAATGTCCCCCACGGTGAGTGTCCCTCTCCTGTATGCCTGCCCGCTGTCTCTCCTCTCTGTCCCTTCTCTGTGTCCCTCGTGTCCCGTTTATAATGTTCCCTATAAGAAAGAACAAGCATAGCAATATACATATAATGGGTTCCAGACTCTCCGTAGGTTAGGTTAGGTTTGGCTAGGTTAGCTTAGGTTAGGATAGGTTTGGTTAGGTTAGGTTAGGTTAGGTTAGGTTAGGTTAGGTTAGGTTAGGTGAGGTGAGGTTAGGTTAGGTTAGGTTAGGTAAGGTAACCACACACACTCACATTACTACCGTCTCAGGTGAGGTACACGACTACAGTGTGGTGGAGGAGGTGAGGAACTGCTACCTGGGCGGCCTGACGGACTTGTATGGTTCCCGGGAGTTCGTCAGACACAGAATCTCTCACTACCTCAATGACCTCATAGACATAGGTGTTATGGGCTTCAGGATCGACGCCGCCAAACACATATGGCCTGAGGTGTGTGTGTTAAACCTTCATCAATGTGTACATGTGGCCTGAGGTGTGTGTTAAACCTTCATCAAAGTGTACATGTGGCCTGAGGTGTGTGTTAAACCTTCCTCAATGTGTACATGTGGCCTGAGGTTTGTGTTAAACCGTCATCAGTGTGTACATGTGGCCTGAGGTGTGTGTTAAACCTTCATCAATGTGTACATGTGGCCAGAGGTGTGTGTTAAACCTTCCTCAATGTGTACATGTGGCCTGAGGTGTTAAACCTTCCTCAATGTACATGTGGCCTGAGGTTAAACCTTCATCAGTGTGTGTACATGTGGCCTGAGGTGTGTGTTATACCTTCATCAGTGTGTACATGTGGCCTGAGGTGTGTGTTAAGCCTTCATCAGTGTGTACATGTGGCCGAGGTGTGTGTTAAACCTTCATCAATGTGTGTGGACATGTGGCCTCAGGTGTGTGTTAAACCTTCATCAATGTGTACATGTGGCCTGAGGTGTGTGTTAAACCTTCATCAATGTGTACACGTGGCCTGAGGTGTGTGTTAAACCTTCATCAATGTGTACATGTGGCCTGAGATGTGTCTTAAACCTTCATCAATGTGTACATGTGGCCTGAGGTGTGTGTTAAACCTTCCTCAAGTGTGTACATGTGGCCTGAGGTGTGTGTTAAACCTTCCTCAATGTGTACATGTGGCCTGAGGTTTGTGTTAAACCTTCATCAGTGTGTGTACATGGGGTCTGAGGTGTGTGTTATACCTTCATCAATGTGTACATGTGGCCTGAGGTGTGTGTTAAACCTTCATCGTGGTACATGTGGCCTGAGGTGTGTGTTAAACCTTCCTCAATGTGTACATGTGGCCTGAGGTTTGTGTTAAACCGTCATCAGTGTGTACATGTGGCCTGAGGTGTGTGTTAAACCTTCATCAATGTGTACATGTGGCCAGAGGTGTGTGTTAAACCTTCCTCAAGTGTGTACATGTGGCCTAGGTGTGTGTAAACCTCCTCATGTGTACATGTGGCCTGAGGTTTGTGTTAAACCTTCATCAGGTGTGTGTACATGTGGCCTTGAGGTGTGTGTTATACCTTCATCAGTGTGTACATGTGGCCTGAGGTGTGTGTTAAGCCTTCATCAGTGTGTGTACATGTGGCCTGAGGTGTGTGTTAAACCTTCATCAATGTACATGTGGCCTCAGGTGTGTGTTAAACCTCATCAATGTGTACATGTGGCCTGAGGTGTGTGTTAAACCTTCATCAATGTGTACACGTGGCCTGAGGTGTGTGTTAAACCTTCATCAATGTGTACATGTGGCCTGAGATGTGCTTTTAAACCTTCATCAATGTGTACATGTGGCCTGAGGTGTGTGTTAAACCTCAATGTGTACATGTGGCCTGAGGTGTGTGTTAAGCCTTCATCAGTGTGTACATGTGGCCTGAGGTGTGTTAAACCTTCATCAATGTGTACATGTGGCCTGAGGTTGTGTTAAACCATCAGTGTGTGTACATGTGGCCTCAGGTGTGTGTTAAACCTTCATCAATGTGTACACGTGGCCTGAGGTGTGTGTTAAACCTTCATCAATGTGTACATGTGGCCTGAGGTGTGTGTTAAACCTTCATCAGTGTGTGTACACGTGGTCTGAGGTGTGTTAAACCTTCATCAGTGTGTACATGTGGCCGGAGGTGTGTGTTAAACCTTCATCAGTGTGTACATGTTGCCTTTATCTTGTGTACATGTGGCCTGGAGGTGTGTGTTAAACCTTCATCAGTGTACATGTGGCCGGAGGTGTGTTAAACCTTCATCAGTGTGTGTACATATGGCCTGAGGTGTGTGTTAAACCTTCATCAGTGTGTACATGTGGCCGGAGGTGTGTGTTAAACCTTCATCAGTGTGTACATATGGCCTGAGGTGTGTGTGTTAAACCTTCATCAATGTGTACATGTGGCCTGTGGTGTGTGTTAAACCTTCATCAGTGTGTACATGTGGCCTGAGGTTTGTGTTAAACCTTCATCAGTGTGTGTACACGTGGCTGGTGTGTGTTATACCTTCATCAGTGTGACATGGCCTGGAGGTGTGTGTTAAACCTTCATCAGTGTGTACATGTGGCCGGAGGTGTGTGTTAAACCTTCATCAGTGTGTACATATGGCCTGAGGTGTGTGTTAAACCTTCATCAATGTGTACATGTGGCCTGAGGTGTGTGTTAAACCTTCATCAGTGTGTACATATGGCCTGAGGTGTGTGTTAAACCTTCATCAGTGTGCTACATGTGGCCTGAGGTGTGTGTTAAACCTTCATCATTTGTGTACATGTGGACTGAGGTGTTTGCAAACCTTCATCAGTGTGTACATGTTGCCTTTATCTGTGTGTACATGTGGCCTGAGGTGTGTTAAATCATCAGTGTGTACATGTGGCCTGAGGTGTGTTAAATCTTCATCAGTGTACATGTTGCCTTTATCAGTGTGCATGTCCGGAGGTGTGTGTTAAACCTTCATCACTGCGTACATGTGGACTGAGGTGTTTGCTAAACCTTCATCAGTGTGTACATGTTGCCTTTATCTGTGTGTACATGTGGCCTGGGGTGTTAAACCTTCATCAGTGTGTACATGTGGCTCATCAGTGTGCACATGTGACTGAGGTGTTTGCTAAACCTTCATCAGTGTGTACATGTTGCCTTTATCTGTGTGTACATGTGGCCTGGGGTGTGTTAACCTTCATCAGTGTGTACATGTTGCTTCTCACCAGTGTGCACATGTGGACTGAGGTGTTTGCTAAACCTTCATCAGTGTGTACATGTTGCCTTTATCTGTGTGTACATGTGGCCGGAGGTATGTTAAATCATCATCACTGCATACATGTGACTGAGGTGTTTATAAACCTTCATCAGTGTGTACATGTTGCCTTTTATCTGTGTGTACATGTGGCCTGGGGTATGTATTAAACCTTCATCAGTGTACATGTTGCCTTTTATCTGTGTGTACATGTGGCCTCAGGTGTTTGCTAAACCTTCATCAGTGTGTACATGTTGCCTTTATCTGTGTGTACATGTGGCCTGTGGTGTGTGTTAAACCTTCATCATTGTGTACATGTGGCCTGAGGTGTGTGTTAAATCTTCATCAGTGTGTACATGTGGCCTTTATCTGTGTGTACATGTCCTGGGGTGTATGTTAAACCTTCATCAGTGTGTACATGTGGCCTTCATCAGTGTGCACATGTGGACTGAGGTGTTTGCTAAACCTTCATCAGTGTGTACATGTTGCCTTTATCTGTGTGTACATGTGGCCTCAGGTGTTTGCTAAACCTTCATCAGTGTGTACATGTTGCCTTTATCTGTGTGTACATGTGGCCTGGGGTGTGTTAAACCTTCATCAGTGTGTACATGTGGCCTGAGGTGTGTGTTAAACCTTCATCATTGTGTACATGTGGCCTGAGGTGTGTGTTAAACCGTCATCAGTGTGTACATGTTGCCTTTATCTGTGTGTACATGTGGCCTGTGGTGTGTGTTAAGCCTTCTTCAGTGTGTACATGTGGCCTGTGGTGTGTGTTAAACCTTCATCAGTGTGTGTACATGTGGCCTGTGGTGTGTGCTATACCTTCATCAGTGTGTATGTTGCCTTTATCTGTGTGTACATGTGGCCTGAGGTGTGTGTTAAACCTTCATCAGTGTGTACATGTTGCCTTTATCTGTGTGTACATGTGGCCTGAGGTGTGTTAAACCTTCATCATTGTGTACATGTGGCCTGAGGTGTGTGTTAAACCTTCATCGGTGTGTACATGTTGCCTTTATCTGTGTGTACATGTGGCCTGAGGTGTGTGTTAAACCTTCATCAGTGTGTACATGTGGCCTGAGGTGTGTGTTAAGCCTTCATCTGTGTACATGTGGCCTGAGGTGTGTGTTAAACCTTCATCGGTGTGTACATGTTGCCTTATCTGTGTGTACATGTGGCCTGAGGTGTGTGTTAAACCTTCATCAGTGTGTACATGTGGCCTGTGGTGTGTTAAACCTTCATCAGTGTGTACATGTTGCCTTTATCTTGTGTGTACATGTGGCCTGAGGTGTGTGTTAAACCTTCATCAGTGTGTACATGTGGCCTGTGGTGTGTGTTAAACCTTCATCAGTGTGTACATGTGGCCTGTGGTGTGTGTTAAACCTTCATCAGTGTGTACATGTGGCCTGAGGTGTGTTAAACCTTCATCAGTGTGTGCATGTGGCCTGTGGTGTGTGTTAAACCTTCATCAGTGTGTACATGTGGCCTGTGGTGTGTGTGTGTGTTAAACCTTCATCAGGTGTGTACATGTGGCCTCAGGTGTTGCTAAACCTTCATCAGTGTGTGCATGTGGCCTGTGGTGTGTGTTAAACCTTCATCAGTGTGTGCATGTGGCCTGTGGTGTGTGTGTGTGTTAAACCTTCATCAGTGTGTACATGTGGCCTCAGGTGTTTGCTAAACCTTCATCAGTGTGTACATGTTGCCTTTATCTGTGTGTACATGTGGCCTGAGGTGTGTGTTAAAACCTTCATCAGTGTGTACATGTGGCCTGAGGTGTGTGTTAAACCTTCATCGGTGTACATGTGGCCTGTGGTGTGTGTGTGTGTGTTAAACCTTCATCAGTGTGTACATGTGGCCTGTGGTGTGTGTTATACCTTCATCAGTGTGTACATGTGGCCTCAGGTGTTTGCTAAACCTTCATCAGTGTGTACATGTTGCCTTTATCTGTGTGTACATGTGGCCTGAGGTGTGTGTTAAACCTTCATCAGTGTGTACATGTGGCCTGTGGTGTGTGTTAAACCTTCATCAGTGTGTACATGTGGCCTGAGGGTGTGTGTTAAACCTTCATCAGTGTGTACATGTGGCCTGAGGTGTGTTAAACCTTCATCAATAGTGTGGCCTGAGGTTGTTAAACCTTCATCAGTGTGTACATGTGGCCTGAGGTGTGTGTTAAACCTTCATCAGTGTGTACATGTGGCCTGTGGTGTGTGTTAAACCTTCATCAGTGTGTACATGTGGCCTGAGGTGTGTGTTAAGCCTTCATTAGTGTGTACATGTGGCCTGAGGTGTGTGTTTAGCCTTCAGTGTGTACATGTGGCCTGTGGTGTGTGTTAAACCTTCATCAGTGTGTACATGTGGCCTGAGGTGTGTGTTAAACCTTCATCAGTGTGTACATGTGGCCTGAGGTGTGTGTTAAACCTTCATCAGTGTGTACATGTGGACTGAGGTGTTTGCAAACCTTCATCAGTGTGTACATGTTGCCTTTATCTGTGTGTACATGTGGCCTGGGGTGTGTGTTAAACCTTCATCAGTGTGTACATGTGGCCTGAGGTGTGTGTTGCCTTTCTTCAGTGTGTACATGTGGCCTGTGGTGTGTGTTAAACCTTCATCAGTGTGTACATGTGGCCTGTGGTGTGTGTTAAACCTTCATCACTGCGTACATGTGGCCTGTGGTGTGTGTGTGTGTTAAACCTTCATCAGTGTGTACATGTGGCCTGTGGTGTGTGTTAAACCTTCATCACTGTGTACATGTGGCCTGAGGTGTGTGTTAAACCTTCATCAGTGTGTATATGTGGCCTGAGGTGTGTGTTAAACCTTCATCACTGTGTACATGTGGCCTGAGGTGTGTGTTAAACCTTCATCAGTGTGTATATGTGGCCTTCATCAATGTGTACATGTGGTTTGAGGTGTCTGTTAAGCCTTCATCTGTGTGTACATTTCCCATGGATTTGTGTAGTCTGTGTGTATGTCTAGCACGGGTGTCTTAATGTTCATATTTGACGGGATGTTTATTATTAATGTGTATGTCTGGCACGGATGTGTATTATTAATGTTTATCTGGTAATGATATCTTAATATTTATATATATCACGAATGTGTATTATTAACGTGTACGTCTACCACGAATGTATAAATGTTTGTCTATCGCGGGTGTTTATAATATCTATATCTCATATATATAATATATATATATATATATATATATATATATATATATATATATATATATATATATATATATATATATATAAACATTTGTTCGTTCCACAGGACCTTGAAGCCATCCAGAGTCTGACTAACAACCTCAACACACTGGCGGGCTACCCTGGTGGCCGACGACCATTCTTCTTCCAGGATCTTGTTGATCTAGGGGTGGAGCCTATTACTGTCGACGAGTACTTCCCTCTAGGTCAGTACCCATCCTGATGTACCCCTTAAAGTACCCATCCTGATCTACTCCTTAAGTCAGTGCCCAGATCGAAGACTAATTCATTGATGGAAGGACTTAATTAACTCGACTCATAATCTTTATTGTTTTGATTTTGGGGGGTCAGAATCTCTTCCACCAATCCATCCATCTACCCCAATACCATTATCTCACCGTCCATCCATCCATCCATCCCAGCACTGCTCCTACCACTTAACCATCTTGTCTGGGTTTGGTTAACAGGACGCACCACAGAGTTCCGGTTCTGCACTAACGTGGCAGCTGGGGTGGAAGACTTCGCTCTGCTGGAACACGTTTATGACCCTAACAGCAGCATGGCGCCCCCGCACAAGGCTCTCGTGTTTGTTGACAACCATCAGAACCAACGAGGAGACGAGAATGGTCACGTCAATGTTCTTACTTACAAACAGGTCAGAGGTCGTGTTCTGATAAGTACGTCAGGGAGGTTGTGTTCTGATAAGTAGGTCATGGATGTCGTATTCTCATAAGTAGGTCAGGGAGGTTGTGTTCTAATAGGTACGTCAGGGAGGATGTGTTCTGATAAGTAGGTCAGGGAGGATGCGTTCTGATAAATAGGTCAGGGAGGACGTGTTCTGATATGTAGGTCATGGATGACGTGTTCTGATAAGTAGGTCAGGAGGTTGTGTCTTAATAGGTACGTCAGGGAGGATGTGTTCTGATAAGTAGGTCAGGGAGGATGTGTTCTGATAAATAGGTCAGGGAGGACGTGTTCTGATAAGTAGGTCAGGAGGGCGTATTCTGATAAGTAGGTCAGAGAGGACGTGTTCTGATAAGTAGGTCAGGAGAATGTGTTCTGATAAGAAGGTCAGGGAGGATGGTTTCTGATAAGTAGGTCAGGTAGGATGTGTTCTGATAAGTAGGTCAGGGAGGATGTGTTCTGGTAAGTAGGTCAGGTAGGACGTGTTCTGATAAGTAGGTCAGGGGGATGTGTTCTGATAAGTAGGTCAGGGAGGATGTGTTCTGATAAGTAGGTCAGGTATTATTATTATTATTATTATTATTATTATTATTATTATTATTATTATTATTATTATTATTATTATTATTATTATTATTATTATTAAAACTATTACTATTGTTATTAGTAGTAGCAGCAGCAGTAATAATAGTAGTAGCAACAGTAATAATAGTAATAATAGCAATAGCATCAGTAATAATAACAGTAGCAGCAGTAATAATGGCAGTAATAGCAGTATAAGCAGTAATAATAGTAGTAGTTACCAGGTGAATCCTGGTAACATCGCGAGGTCCACAAATAGGGTACCACCCAAACGCCAGCAAGTCCTTCCTCATCGTGAAGCCAGAACATTATGAACGGGCATTGGAGGTTTTTGGCGGAAGTGAGGTCAAAATAACTAAGGACGGCCAAAGACATCTAGGCGCAGTAATTGGCACTACGGACTTCAAGACCGAGTACGTAGCGGGAAAGGTGAATGAGTGGGTTAGCGAAATCCAAGCTCTGTCTGAGATTGCTAACACAGAGCCACATGCGGCCTTTGCAGCATTCACCCATGGAGTCAAGCATCGCTGGAACTACCTGATGCGTACCATCCCTGAGATCGGACCCTCCTCCACCCTCTGGAAGAAGCTATCAGTGTCAAGTTCATTCCCAAACTAGTGAAACACCCTGACTTAACCCCAGCAGAAAGAACACTTTGCACTTCCACCAAGACTGAGGGATGGGACTAACTAATCCAGAGGAGATTGCTGACACTGAACATCAAAATTCACTTAAGCTCACGGCAGCCTCACTGACCACATAATAGCCCAGAATGCAACAGGGAAGTGGACACCAGCGAAGTAAATAAGATCCGTAGGTCCATTACAACAGATCGGCAGCACTGCCAAATGACATGTTGCAGCAACTATTGCTGCAGGTTCCAGAAAATTTGACAAAAAGTAGCTATAGCGCAGGAGGTGGGCGCCTCGAACTGGTTAACTACGTTACCGATAAGGGCAAATGGTTTCAGCCTTAACAAACAAGAATTTACAGATGCCATTGCTCTAAGGTACGGTTGGCCAGTAGATGGTTTGCCCTCCCAATGCGTGTGTGGCTCTTCCTATGATGGCGATCACGCCATGGTCTGCAAGAAGGGGGGCTTCATATGCATGAGGCATGACGAGGTAAGGGATCTCAGCAAATATGTTGAAGGAAATTGCCGGGACGTCATGGTAGAACCGACCTCCTTCCATTGGATGGCGAGATCTTCCAACACAGGACTTCAAACACATCTAACGAAGCCCTGTGGACGTCAGTGCTCGAGGATTCTGGACGCCGGGACAGCGAGCTTTTCGACATCAGGATTTTGATCCCATGGCCGCTTGTCACCGTAACCTAGCTCTCGATGCTGCACATAGGAGGAACGAGAACGACAAGAGAAGGGCATATGGGGAGAGAATTCAAAACGTTGATCAAGGCAGCTTCACTTCTAGTGTTCACAACCTCTGGTGGGATGGGCCCAAGTGCAAGATGTTTCTACGCCAGACTCGCGGAGTTGATCTCCGAACAGAAGCAGCAGCCCAGAAGTTATGTTACAGCCTGGATGAGATGTCGACTGTCCTTTCTCCTTCGGTCGGCTTTGCTCTGCCTCAGGGGAACGGACTTCTGCCCCTACTCCGACAACTGCTGCAGATATTGACTATGAGGCTACAGTCACTGAATGCCGCATAGATTCATGCTCAACAATTTAACACAGATAGGATAGCTTTATGTATTAGGATATTTAATATTAAGGTAAATAAATGGTATAAGGTGTGGCTATTGGGGAGGCTGAGGCCATATTAAAAAAAAAAAAAAAATAATAATAATAGTAGTAATAGCAGTAGCAGCAGTAATAATAGTAATAATAGCAGTAGCAGCAGTAATAATAGTATTAATAGCAGTAATAGCAGTAGCAGCAGTAATAATAGCAATAGCAGCAGTAATAATAGCAATAGCAGCCGTAATAATAGCAGCAATAGCAGTAGCAGCAGTAATAATAGAAGTAAATAACAGTAGCAGCAGTAATAATACAGTACGAAAGTAGTACAAACACATAACAGCAGTCACATTAGGTGTGTGTGAGTAGCTGTAGGTAGTAATAGGTAAAGCAGAGGACAGCTAATAATTTGTAGTAAAAACAGTATGCAGTTACAGAAATAACAGCAATAGCAGCAGTAATAATAGTAGTAAAAACAGTAGCAGCAGTAATAACAGCAATAGCAGCAGTAATAATAGTAGTAAATAGTAGCAGCAGTACTAATAGTAGTGAATAGCAGTAGCAAAATAATAGTAGTAATAGCAGTAGCAGCAAGTAACAATAGTAGTAAAACAGTAGCAGCAGTAATAATAGTAGTAATAGCAGTAGCAGCAGTAATAATAGTAGTAGAAGTAGCAGCAGTAATAATAGCATTAGCAGCAGTAATAATAGTAGTAATAACAGTAGCAGCAGTAATAATAGTTGTATATCCGTGCTCCAACACACAATAAAATTTGAAGAACTGAGGTCAATCAAGTGGCGTACGCTGACGACCTTACAGGAGCAGGAAAAGTGGAGGACATCAAAAAGTGGTGGGACCTGGTAACATCACGAGGTCCACAAATAGGGTACCACCTAAACGCCAGCAAGTCCTTCCTCATTGTGAAGCCAGAACATGTGAACGGGCAATGAAGGTGTTCGGTGGAAGTGAGGTCAAAATAACAAAGGATGGCTAAAGACACCTAGGGGCAGTAATCGGCCCGACGGACTTCAAGACCGAGTACGTAACGGGAAAGGTGAATGAGTGGGTTATGGAAATCCAAGCTCTGTCTGAGATTGCTAACAAAGAGCCACATGCGGCTTTTCCGGCTTTCACCCATGGAGTCAAGCATCGCTGGGACTACCTGGCGCACACTATCCCTGATATCGGACCCCTCCTCCACCCTCTGGAAGAAGCTATCAGCGTCAATTTCATTCCCCAATTAGTGAAACACCAACACTTAACCCCAGCAGAAAGATCACTCCTTGCACTACCACCGAGACTGGGAGGAATGGGACTGACCAATCCAGAGGAGATTGCTGCCACCGAACATCAAAACTCAGTTAAGCTCACGGCAGCCCTCACGGACCGCATAATAGCTCAGAACGCAATGGCGAGGTGCATACCAGTGAACTAAACAGGATTCGAAGGTCCATTACGACAGAACGACAGCACGGCCAAAGTGATAAGTTGCAGCAACTGTTGCTGCAAGTACCAGAGAATTTGAAAAAAATGTAGCTATAGCGCAGGAGGTGGGCGCCTCGAACTGGTTAACTACGTTACCGATAAGGGCAAATGGGTTCAGTCTCAAGAAACAAGAATTTACAGATGCCAATGCTCTAAGGTACGGGAGGCCAGTAGAAGGTTTGCCCTCCCACCTCGCGGTGGCTCTTCCTATGACATCGATCACGCCATGGTGTGCAAGAAAGGGGACTTCATATGCATGAGGCATGACGAAGTAAGGGATCTCACAGCAAATATGTTGAAGGAAATCTGCCGTGATGTCATGGTAGAACAGACCCTCCTTCCATTGGACGGCGAGTTCTTCCAACATAGGACTTCAAAAAACATCCAACGAAGCCCGTGTTGACGTCAGTGCTCGAGGATTCTGGACGCTGGGAAAGCGAGCCTTCTTCGACATCAGAATTTTTTATCCCATGGCCACATGTCACCTTAACTTAGCTCTCGATGCTGCACACAGAAGGAACGAGAACGACAAGATAAGGGCATACGGGGAGAGAATTCAGAACGTTGATCAAGGCAGCTTCACTCCTCTAGTGTTCACAACCTATCGTGGGATGGGACCAAGTGCAAGATGCTTCTATGCCAGACTCGCGGAGGTGCTATTCGAACAGAAGCAGCAGCCCAGAAGTTATATTACTGCCTGAATGAGATGTCGATCACTCTTTCTCTCCTTAGGTCGGCTTTGCTCTGCCTCAGGGGAACGAGAGTATCGGCCCCAAAGCCGACAACAGTTGCAGATAATGACTATGAGGAAACAGTCACTGAATGCCACATAGATCTGCGGCTCAACTAGCTCAACACAGTTAGGATAGCTACTTATGTATTAGGATATTTAATTTTAAGGTAATAAAATGGTGGCGAAGGTGTGGCTATTGGGGAGGCTGGAGGCCATTAAAAAAATAATAATAGCGGTAGCAGCAGTTATAATAGTACTAATAGAAGTAGCAGAGGCAGTAAAAGCCGTAGCAGCAGTAATAATGGTAGTAATAGCAGTAGCAGCAGTAATAATAGCAGTAGCAGCAGTAATAATAGCAGTAGCAGCAGTAATAATAGCAGTAACAGCAGTTATAATAGCAGTAATAGAAGTAGCAGTGGTAGTAATAGCAGTAGCAGCAGAATAATAGTAATAATAGCAATAGCAGCAGTAATAATAGTAATAATAGAGGTAACAACAATAATAAAAGTTATAATAGCACCAGTAGCAGCAGTAATAATAGCAGTAGCAACAATAATAATAGCAGTAGCAGTTGTAATAATAGCAGTAGCAGCAGTAATAATAGTAATAATAGCAGCAGCAGCAGTAATAATAGTAATAATAGCAGTAGCATCAGTAATAATGGCAGTAGCAGCAGTAATAATAGCAGTAGCAGCAATAATAATAGTAATAATAGCAGTAACAATAAATAATAGTAATAATAGCAGTAGCAGCAGTAATAATAGCAGTAGCAACAGTAATAATAGCAGTAGGAACGGTAATAATAATAGCAATAGCAGTAACAACAATAATAATAGTAATAATCGCAGTAGCAACAATATCTTGATCATCAACACAAACACACCACCAGGAACGGGAGTACAAGATGGGGGTAACCTTCTCGCTGGCCCACGACTATGGGTTTATGCGAGTCATGAGCAGCTATGACTTCCAGGACAGTAACCAAGGTCCTCCCGGCAGTGACAACGGCGGCTCTACTGACACTGTCCCCATCAACGCTGACGGAACCTGTGGTGGTGGGTGGATCTGTGAGCACCGCTGGAACGCCATTATGCAGATGGTATGTGATGGGTTAGGGTTAGGTTTGGTTGGGTTACATATTGTTGGAGGAAGACTTAAGTTACCTTTTGATGGAGGAAGATAAAAGTTACATATTGTTGGAGGAATATTAAGTTACATATTGTTGGAGGAAGATTAAATTACATATTGTTGGAATGAGACTTAAGTTACCTGTTGATGGAGGAAGATTAAAGTTACATATTGTTGAAGGAAGATTAAAGTTACATATTGTTGGAGAAAGATTAAATTACATATTATTGGATGAAGACTTAAGTTACCTGTTGATGGAGAAAGATTAAAGTTACATATTGTTGAAGAAAAACTAAAGTTACATATTGTTGGAGGAAGATTAAGTTACATAACGTTGGAGGAAAACTTAAGTTACATATTGTTGGAGGAATATTAAGTTACATATTGTTGGAGGAATATTTAGTTACATATTGTTGGAGGAAGATTAAATTACATATTGTTGGAGGAAGGTTAAATTACATATTGTTGGAGGAAGACTTAAGTTACATAACGTTGGAGGAAGACTTAAGTTACATATTGTTGGAGGAAGAATAAATTACATATTGTTGGAGGAAGATTCAAGTTACATATTGTTGGAGGAAGATTTAAGTTACATATTGTTGGAGGAAGATTTAAGTTACATATTGTTGAGAGAAGATTAAGTGATATATTGTTGGAGGAATATTAAGTTACATATTGTTGGAGGAAGATTAAATTACATATTGTTGGAGGAAGACTTAAGTTACCTGTTGTTGGAGGAAGATTAAGTTACATATTGTTGGAGGAAGGTTAAATTACATATTGTTGAGGAAGACTTAAGTTACATAACGTTGGAGGAAGACTTAAGTTACATATTGTTGGAGGAAGATTAAATTACACATTGTTGGAGGAAGACTTAAGTTACCTGTTGTTGGAGGAAGATTAAAGTTACATATTGTTGAAGGAAGATTAAGTTACATGTTGTTGGAGGAATATTAAGTTACATATTGTTGGAGGAAGATTTAAGTTACATATTGTTTGTGGAAGATTAAGTTATATATTGTTGGAGGAATATTAAGTTACATATTGTTGGAGGAAGAATTATGTTACATATTGTTGGAGGAAGATTAAGTTATATATTGTTGGAGGAAGATTAAGTTACATATTGTTGGAGGAATATTTAGTTACATATTGTTGATAAGATTAAATTACATATTGTTGGAGGAAGACTTAAGTTACATATTATTGGAGGAAGATTAAATTACATATTGGTGGAGAAACATTAAATTACATATTGTTGGGGGAAGACTTAAGTTACATATTGTTGGAGGAAGACTTAAGTAACATGTATTGTTGGAGAAAGACTTAAGTAACATGTATTGTTGGAGGAATATTTAGTTACATATTGTTGGAGAAAGATTAAATTACATATTGTTGAAGGAAGATTAAATTACATATTGTTGGAGGAAGACTTAATTTACATATTTTTGGAGGAAGAATAAAGTTACATATTGTTGGAGGAATATTTTTAGTTACATTGTTGAAGGAAGATTTCAGTTACATATTATTGGAGGAAGACCAAGTTAAAGTAACGTTCCTTGTCTCCCTCACTGCCAGGTTATGTTCAGGAATGTTGTGGCAGGTACACATGTCGCTAACTGGTACCATGAGAACGAGAACGTGGCCTTCCCCGGTAGTATGGGGTTCTTTCGTTAATGCCGAAATAACTACCACAACCCGCTAGACGGGTAAGTGTGTGTTTGTGTGTGTGTGTGTCCCTTCTCATCTAAGTTTGTCTTGTGTTTTCTTCTTCCTAGTGTCTCTTCACCTTCCTCATCATCTCTTGCTGTCTATCATCATCACTTCATTCCTCCCTCACTCTCTGTCACTTACTGTCCACCATCACTATCTCCCTCACCAACTCTCTCTCCACCTCACCATTTCTCACTTACCCTCACCAGGTATGCCAGCTGGAATATACTGTGATATCATAACAAGATGTGAGAAGACAGTGACGGTAGAGGACGGAACAGCTCGTATCCACATCTATGAGTACCAGGAACCATTGTTAGCTATCTGTGTCGGCTGTGACGGCTCCATACCCACCAACTCTCCCAGGCACAAAGATCACGTCTTGACATTTCACCTATACTTATAATTATAATACATGTAAGATTAAGTCGTAGTATAAAATTCATTGAAATTAAAAAAAGGAATTTCTTTTTTGTCATTAAAAATGCGGTAAAGTTGGACTGTGCAAGATGGAGGAATGTTATAGTAAACATTGTGAGGACTTGACCTTGAGGACAGAATTGATCAAAATAATACTCATAGAAGTATAATAGACATAGACCTATAATAAACATAGACCCAACAGTAAACTTACCCACAGTACCTTAATGTTAGAGACGTTCTGTTAACAAATCAGGCAGTGGTCATTGGCATTCACAATCTGCCTAACATCATAGAACTACTAAGAAAAACAGACATTGCGATAGGCTCTCATGTGTGTGATTTACAGTACATACCGTATTGTTTGTATTGCTGTTTGTTATTATTGTTTTTGTTTTCGCTTGATGGTGATTCAGAATGACCTGATCTCTGCCCTCAGATTACACCACCACTACTGAGGGGCCTACACCCACCCAGGCCACCACACCTGAGCCCACCCTGGCCACCACACCTGAGCCCACCACACCTGAACCCACCACGGCCCCACCTCAGCCGAACAGGACTGTGGTGTTCCTTCACAGGGAGACTGACTCTGGCCAGGATGTGTTCATCATTGGCGGCACTAAACAACCGAAAAGCTCAGGTGAGGCCCAGATCAGTTGTATCCCAGATTACTGGTACCTCAGGTCACTTGTATACTGTATGTACCACGCTACCTTCCCTCTGAGTGAAAAGAAGAATGTATGCAACTGGTGTGAGAAGTGTGATGTTGTATGGTAGTGAAACATGGGCAGTTAAGGCGATGACATAAGTAGACTTGAGTGAGCTGAAATGAGAATGTTAAGGTGGATGTGTAATGTGACACTGAAAGACAGGAGGCCCTGTTTAGAGCTAAGAGGGCAGCTGGGTAACGAGAATATTGGCAAAGTCTTACACTGAAACAGACTGAGATGGTTTTGGCAAGTGTAGAGACAGGATGAGACTAACTGGGTGAAGGGGTGCGTTAATCTAAATGTGGAGGAGGAAAGGAGAGCCAGGGCCAGGCACTTCACCTTTTGTTCACACCAGACCAGGACATCAAGATTCCGGTCACTCGTTATAGTTTCAGACTCTCTTTCTCTTTATCACGTTGGCACATCCTCAAACAATCCATTGTAATTGGGATTTTTTTAGTTAAAGACGAGCAGGTGAGGTTACCTGTTGAGCACCCACCGAGTACTTGGAGGGTGGTGTGGGTTTTAACGTACGAGTACATTACCTGGTTCCACAGAATAAACCAAAGAGTGTAAGCCTGAGACACACTCACACTCTTCATCCTTGACCACTGAAGGATCAAGACGTATCTGGCGCTCCTCTGGGAGCAGCCAGGTCAACTGTTAAGTTGGCCTATACCAACTCCCTCACCTGAACCCCTCCTCACCACCAGAATATTAACAAGTTCTCGCCAGAAGTTACAATTTCATTTAGGAAAGGAATGGAACCAGTGTTGAACAGAGGTGAACAGCGGTGAACAGTGCTTAAGTAACAGCTAAGTCGTACCTAAGTTAACCTTCACAGTGAGGTCCCAGGTACCCAGTGATAACGGCCCGTGAGACCCAACAACAACCAGCGATGTGTTAATCCGCCTACGATAGGAAGGACTGGGACCACACCTCACCATATAACACCATCTGTGAGGAATAACTACACCACGTAAGGTCCCCCATAATACCACCTGTGAGGAATTACTACACCACGTCGGGTCCCTCATAACACCATCTGTGAGGGAATTACTACACCACGTCAGGTCCCACATAACACCATGTGTGAGGGAATTACTACACCACGTCAGGCCCCTCATAACACCATCTGTGAGGGAATTCGTACACCATGTATGCCCTCATAACACCATATGTGAGGGAATTACTACACCACGTGATGCCCCTCATAACACCATCTGTGAGGGAATTACTACAACAATTGAGGTCCCTCATAACACCATCTGAAAGGGAATTACTACACCACGTGAGGTTCTTCATAACACCATCTGTGAGGGTATTACTACACCACGTGAGGTCCCTCATAACACCATCTGTAAGGGAATTACTACACCACGTCAGGTCCCTCATAACACCATCTGTGAGGGAACTACTACACCACGTGAGGTCCCTCCTAACACCATCTGGGAGGAAGTTACTACACTACGTGTTTGCTGTTCAACACCTACATTATTCTGAATGTTCACTGTACGTTCCTTTACCTTTCTCTACAATGAAGGCTTTTGTTAAACCACCAATGTCAATGTTTGTAATAAGTCATTTATGTCCAATGTATATTTTCAGCCTTCGGGATTCAGAAGTTTTTTAATAAACCGTTAATTATTATTATCATTATTACACACACACACACACACACACACACACACACACACACACACACACGACACCTGCCACTCAATCATTACAATTTGTACTTACAGAGTGCAAATCGAACGCGGTTTATGACCCCTGTGCCATTGACATCGAGGTGTTGCCACTGGGTACGGGTTACCACTACGAGAAGTATGATGCATGGCGGGTAGGAGACACCAAGCTGGACTGGTACGGTGCTCAGATCGGCCAAGGCAAGTACGATGGGCGGCCAGCCGAGGGTTCTCCCCTAGTGTGGACCACCAACGACCCCAACGCTGCAGAGTACCAGCCACTTAACACGTGAGATCTTTATTACAATTATTCTTTTCATTCACCTGGACTCATACACCTTCCTCTTAAGTGAAATTTTTCAATCTTTACTACCAATGGATTAGTTTCAATTAGTTTATCCCACAGAGCAGCTTGTTCAGTGTGTGTACCCCATTATCCTCATGAACCAAGCAGGGTACAACTACACAAGAGGTACACGTCTACCAGTAACTCCTTCTCATACACGTCCTCCTCCCTGGCAGGTTTGGCCCACACTACTGGATGATCGACCTTATGATGTACTGCGACCAGACCGACGCTGACTGGTTCGAGCTGCGTTCCTTCACCACCAACGATGAGATAGGCTGGGAGGACGATATTAACCAGGCGAGTGTAGCATACATACATACATACATACATACATACATACATACATACATACATACATACATAGATGGATAAATAGCTATTTTTGCATTAAAATCATCATACAAGTTTGCATTGATTCAGTGTGTACACAATATAGACAGGGCAGGTATACAATAAAGTAGACATACACAGTGCAAATATACATAATACATAAACACTGCAGTTATACATAGTCAGAGTAACATCCACCATCTTATCAACAGCTGTAGTGAATCCTGTTATCGTTGTTGGTGTTTAGAAGTTGGGTTTGTTTTGGGAGAAGGATCCTATATGTTGTTTATTATCTCCCCCAAAGTACTCGTGGTTTTATACTTACCTTCCTTGTATAACATTATCCCTCGTTATGTTTTCCTCGATCCTTATTTCCTTTACATCATGTCCACTCGGGCACAGGTCACTAACCCACATCGGGGCCGGCGGGGGTCGAAAATGTAATAATAATAATAATAATTCATAGTAAATAGAATTTATAATAAAAATACACAATTAAAAATAAAATAATGAAATAATAATGATACTCTCAACAAATAATAATAATAATAATAATAATAATAATAATAATAATAATAATAATAATAATAATAATAATAATAATAATAATAATAATAATAATAATAATAACACTAATAATAATAACAAAGAACTACAGTATAAGGAAATAAAAAATTAAAAAATAAATCGTGAGAATTGATATACTGTATGTAAGTTGTGTTGTCATGTAAGAGAAACAATTGAGACCCTGCAATTGTGTGTAAATGAGGCAGAAAGTCAGATCAGCAACCTGGGACTTGGTAACAATTTTCGTGATGCCATATGGCAGCAGGGTCTACCATTAGACAATACATTATGCTTCCAATATCTTCCCATGGGGTAGTACCTCCCTGTTTGGTAGCTGCCTACTACCTACTGTGTTCTCGCCTCATATCCCCCTACAAGTAATGGAAGAAAAACAATTATTATTCTGTAATCCGCTGACTGGGTTTCACTTCCCCGCAGGACATGTGTACTGGTGACGCCGGGAGTAAAGCGCCCACGGCCGGGGTCTACCATGTGGCTCGTTGTGGTTACCTCAATGTCTTCGACTTCCAGTCACCGTCCTGCGAGATTGACAATTTACCTTAATGTATCCGAGACTGGGGGAGACTGTCTGCCTTAATACATCCAGGAGACTAGTGGAGACTGTCTGCCTTAATAACTCCAAGGAACTATAGGAGAGAGACAAGAGTTAAGGAATATGGCATACCTCACCCAGGCCTACATCGTCCTCTTCGTCAGTAGTCCACCTCAGCTGTCTGCCCCGCGACCATCATCCACTACATACTCCAGACTGTTCTTACTGTGTTAACTCCTACTAATAAACACCTTCCTGACAGTAGTGGTGTGTGTGTCTTTAATTAACACCCGCACAGACCTTAACCTCTCACACACTTGTACTAACTCAACCTGTCTTGTTAACAGTCTTATTGCAATGTTATTTAAGAGGGTAGAGAGAGTGAGATGGATAGAAAGAAAGAGAGGGAAGGATAGAGAGGGGGAGGGAAGGATAGAGAGAGGGAGGGAGGGATAGAGAGAGGGAGGGGAGATAGAGAGAGGGGGAGAAGGATAGAGAGAGGGTAGAGAAGGATAGAGAGAGGGTGGAGAGGATAGAGAGAGGGGAGGGGAGGATAGAGAGAGGGGAGAGAAGGATAGAGAGAGGGGGAGAAGGATAGAGAGAGCTAACTTATATGAGTTATGAAATCAAGCAATGATATTTCAGACACCCATAATTCATATAAATGAAGGATAACTATAATGGTAATAATAGTAATTACATTTACCCTGTGTAATGCTGATAACCACACAGGAAAAAAACACATACACACCTACAATGATTTATTGAGATTTATGGAGCATTATCGTCATCGTAGTTAATACATTCCGTACTTAGCAGCAGTGTGGGAAAACCCTCATTCCATGTTTTTTAATGTTTTATTAATAATAATCACTAACATTAAATGTATACTAGAATATGCTGTACCGTTAATGATGATACTAATAAAACTAATCTAGAATAATATAGTTTTGTTGTTTTACATATATTATGATGTTGAGGTGTATGAGTATTGTGACACTGAAAGACAGGAGGTACTGTATTGGTGAGGTTCTGCATAGAGGCAGACTGTAGAGGGGTGTGGTTATCTATGCTAGAAACGACCTTACAGCCAGCCAGGTGAGGGTACAGGGAGAAGATATTTTTGAAGAGTCCAAGTGGTGTAAAATTAAATTAAAGGGAGGAGACTTACTTATTGTCGGGTGTATCTACGGATCCCCAAATTGTAGCTAAGTAAACCAAAGGAACTTAAGAACCTTAATAGATAATGCAACGATACTCAACCCTAGCCACCTCCTTATCATGGGGGGACTTTAACTTTGGCGACATCCACTGGAGAAATGAGTCCATGCCAAATGACTTAAATAAACCCGATACTCTTTTTGTAGAACCTGAGAGAAAATTTCCTGTTCCAACATGTTATGGTCCCGACGCATTACAGAGGGGAGCAAACACCTGCAACTGGACCTCATCATAACAAATGATGAGGGTATAGTGGCCAAGCTGGAACATCTAGCCACAGTTGGCACCAGCCACCATGTAATGTTGTCCTTCAGAATTAACTGTTACTTGGTTCACGAAGGGATGAGGGAGGAGATGAGGGATATCCACTGGCCTGTCTCACTAAGGTATAAGAATGCAGACACTACGCTGAATATCATAGCCAGTAAAGTGAACCATTTGATCGAGAAATACGAGTATACTGTATACCAAAGACCAAACCCAGTGCCTCTTGGAATACAAGGAGATCACTGCACATGAACCATGCGGCAGTCAACAAAGTTAAGCATGTTATCGCCGCCTTCGTACGCCACGACCTCTGAACCCATCTGGCCGCGCGCGACTGTGACCTCGCCAGATGTTTGTGGATGCACAACAAGTTTTTTGTTGTTATGTCCATAGATAGGCTGACACGTGAGTGAAAGAGCACAGTGATTTTTTGTATTATGGTGAAATGTTGAGAACTACATACGTGCATAGTAAGGCAATTTGGATAATAACCATACAGAATAGTGTATTTACTAACTGACGTATACATGTAATGGAATGTAATCAGTAGTTAATAAGTGTCTCACTTTTACAGGTTTTGACCATATTAATCAATAAACGATGAGTGAGTCACGTTGTGGATTTCTCTCATCATTAAGACGTGACGTCATCTGACTGTCGAACCATTCGGCAGTTACAAAGAAGAAAACCCAGAAATTCAAGGCGTGGGTTAGGTCAAACGATGAGCAGGACAAGAGGATGTATGCAAGATCCAGGAACTAAGCAAAGTCAGAGTGTAGAAGGGCTGAAAAGAAGTTCCAGACTCTGTTTGCAAGCGAGGTCAAGTCAAACCCAAAAGCATTTTACCGCTATGCAAAGTCGAAATTAAAAACGCGAGTAGGAGATTCAGACTTGAGGCTTGCAGATGGCAGTTATGCAAATTCTGACCAAGACTGTAACTGCCATCGGGGCGGTTAAAGGAGTTAATGAAACTTGTGACATTGAGCTTGAACATAATAATTCGGTCAAACCTGTTGAATACAATTCATTTTAGTATTTCAAATAATTCATACATAGGCAATCACATAAATGTCTAATCCAATATATATTTACATAACAATCATAGCTATGTAATCAGTCTAATCTTAAACACTTACAATGAGTACTTAATTTTCCATATTTTTATGTTGTCACAATGATAAACGATGCAATGGACACAGTCTACTGTGTACACAATGTACCAGTTAAACTTACGTGTTGAAAGTCTCAAGAGAAACTAGGTTAGGTGCTGCCTCTGTGATCTGAATAACTACAGAGAACCAGGTTAGGTGTTGCCTCTGTGGTCTGAATAGCTATGCCGATATTCTCCCCAACCCTCTCTCCATGGGCGGCTGAGTCAGGTGATTATAATTATACATAAACAAAACTCCTTACACACCCAACCTCCTGGCCTCTCATCTCCCATGTCAATACTCTATATACTGTATACGGCAGGCACATTCAACAAACATGACATGACTACAGCCCACATAATGTTTGTTTATGTGTCATCCCACACATTACTGCTTGCGTAACACCCACTCCATTGGATTCACGTCAAAAACCAGATCAGGCCTTTGATACTAAACTTTGTCACGTTCTAGTGACTATGCTGCCTCAGGTTGCTGATACTTAACTTGTTACGTTTTTGTGACTATGCTGCCCTCAGGCTGGTGGTATTTAACTTTAATTTTGTCACGTTTATGTGACTATGCTGCCCTCAGACTGGTGGTATTTAACTTTAATTTTGTCACGTATGACTATGCTGCCATCAAGCTGGTGGTATTTAACTTCGTCACGTTCTTGTGACTGTGCTGTCCTCAGGCTGGTGGTATTTAAGTTTGTCACTTTCATGTAACTATCGCTGCCCTCAGGCTAGTAATACTTGTCATCTCCTTAACTTTGTCACGTTCATGTGACTATGCTCACCTCAGGCTGCTGATAATTAACTTTGTCACGTTCTTGTGACTATGCTGGCCTCAGGTTCTGATACTTAACTTTAATTTTTTTCACGTTCATGTGACTATGCTCTCAGGCTGGTGGTGGTATTTAACGTTAATTTTGTCACGTCTGTGACTATGCTGCCCTCATGCTGGTGGTATTTAACTTTAATTTTGTCACGTCTATGTGACTATGCTGCCCTCAGGCTGGTGGTATTTAACTTTAATTTTGTCACGTTTATGTGACTATGCTGCCCCTCAGGCTGGTGGTATTTAACTTTAATTTTGTCACGCATGTGACTATGCTGCCCTCAAGCGTGGTGGTATTTAACTTGTCACGTTCTTGTGACTATCGCTACCCTCAGGATAGTAATATTTGTAAGCTCCTTAACTTTCTGTCATTTACTGGGACACGGCATGCACCTTGTCTCACTCTAAAGGGCACGTTCGTGTGCCTTTTCTCACCTCATCAGGGCACGTTCTTTGTCTCACGTGCCACAGGCGACCTGGCACTATGCCCACTCTAACACTCGCATCTGATATCATTACAAACTTTACTTTGAT